TATTTGCAAAAAAATGCAGATCTGCATTTTTAAGATCATTTCGCAAGCCAAAGTAATTGTCGTAGGACACTCAGATTTTTTCCGTTGCTAAGTATTCTATTGGGGATGCGGGAGACTTCATTTTCTAAAAAAAATTGTTTTTCGTCTATTTTCGCTCCGCCCTAGTGCCCAAGCATTTTTCTCTACTCTGAAATAAACGAGTTGACAAGGGGGTCACACTTTATCTTCTCACTGTTAAAATAACACTGATATTTAAACAGCAATTTTTACCTAAAAAGGCAAACGTATAACTACTCAAAAAAATATTAGTTTCAGTCAATCCGAATTTAACAAATTATATATTGATTATCAAAACAACCGAAATATATAAAAATACAGGGTAGTCCGTTATGTAGCAAACTTATTAGTTTTTTTTATTGTACAGGGTGAAGATATTAGCACCTTTCCAATTACGTAAATTTTGTACAAAACATCTTATCAAAATATTTTTTTTAATGAACTACCGTATACATAATTTTTTTAATTTAGTGTTACAAAGAATTAAGATGTACAACATAAGAAACAAATATTTCGAGATCAAAATATTGATAACAATTGTAAACCACTTGTGTCTCAAATTGTATATCTTTCTATCTAAAAAAAATGCATTTCATTTATACAGTATTGTTTGACATTAAGAATTGCTCAGTATTTTTTACCAATTTTAGAGGAATTGTTTAATTTTAGAAATGACAATATTTGTATGCATAAATAAATAAATATGTTAACTAGTTAAGTAAGAAAACACTAATTTATAGTCTTGAATACTGTATAAACATAATACTTATAAACATATTTTTATATTTTCTAATAAATCTATTTTTATACCGTAACAAAATACATATATAAATTTAATTTCAAAAATACCAGAAAAAAGATACCAGGGTCAATCAAATATAAACTGGAATTTCTTTTAGTCATTGTAAGTAGGGTTCTTATCATCAATGACCTCACTCTACAGTTTCGTTAGTCAGCAAGAGAAGCCCTTCTGCATCTGCAAAACCATCCGAAATTTAAAAAAAAAAATTAAGGCACAATTCGGAGGTTACACCTTTAAGGCTCTACACCAGTACGTGTAACAAAAGAAAGGAGAACTTACAGCCATCATTATAATTTTATTTTAAAGAAGTTGGGCACATCTATTTTTTAGACTCTAGACCAGAGGTCGGCAATCTTTTTCAAAAGGTCTTTAAGAGGGCCCCACAGTAAAAAAAACATATTTTGGCAATATTATTATAATTTTATTTGGTTCGTTTTATGAAATATTGTTTTAATGACATTAAGGCCAAGGGCCATTAGAAGGACAAGCAAGAATAGTCACGTGATCACAGACCATTTTTTTTATTATTATTTTTAGTTGGATGTATGACACAATACTTGGTAGCAGGCTTTTTAGTAGCATTCACGCCACCACCAATAAATTCGAAAAAGCCTAATCCTGAAAATTATATTGTCCCAATATATAGATAGGATCTATATTTGTTGATAATTCATTCAAGTCGGCATCAGTTTACGATACAAATATCCTTAGAATGTTTTGTAGAACAGAAGTAAAAGTTGGAAAGGCTTTTGCCAGTTCTCCCACTTTATACACATAAATTGACAGGTTTGCTGCGGATCTCACCGAAGTGGACGCGATACATTGGTGTACAAAATTATTTTATAGATGTTAATAACAAATTCGAGTAAATAGTTTAATAAATTGTAAATAGCTGTTGAAATTTTGTAAAATTATGATTTGAATATTATAATACATGTTTAATAATTATTTATAGTCCATAAATACATGCGATTGTCCCGTTCCGCCGATAACAATTTAAAATTACTTATTCTATGAAACGACACTGGCAGGTAAACATTACTGCGAAATTCTCGAAGCCGTCCGACGTGGTTTGACGTTTACCCTCTCTCTACCTACCAAAAGCCTTTCCAACTTTTACTTTCCCTATAAATTCTAAACTCACACAATGTGCCAAACGAACTTCTCCAAGTTACTTGGATCAGTACGTTCATGAACTAAAATCGAAGTTTACTTACATTTGCTTTAGAATTCCAAGTGATTCCAACGTTTTGCAGATCCTAACTTAGTGTAATTCGTTATTGCTAGTAACCGACACCTGCTCTAAAAGAACATCGTGCGTCAAGAGATTGTGTGATTTAATATAAAAATATAATTCCGGTTTATATTTGATTCTACCTCGTATATTTCATATTTGTTTACATTTACAGTTCATAAATTCGTACTCTTTAATTTTTAAAAGTGATAATGTTCACGTTTTTTAAAAATAAATATTCAATAAAGTGAAAAAGGTTTTATAAAAATAATTGTAAACTATCTGTAAAAGAAAAAATTGCACATTATTTGTGTTGTCTTTCTAACAAAACCTGGGCGTCACCACTACTAGGTAAAGTGTGTGTTGCCCCCTAAAGCAATAAAAGCAAAATTAACGCGGTTTGAATAATAAATATACAGTATGTTTCAAATTTGTATTGCTAAACTTAAAACCACAGATTGATTTCTTTGAAAAAATATTAAATATTTCGTTAAAAAACATATGCCAGGAAAGTCACTATTTTTTACATAGACGTCATTCTATTTACGGAAACTTGGCAAAACCAATAACTAGAATAACGTCATTTTTAGGAACATAATTGACTTAAGTGATTTATAAAGTAATTATAACTGAGTATTGGATTATAACCATTAAATAGTAATAATTAGAAGGTCTAAATTAAGATCCTGTCGAGGATAGATACATTTCTGTATTTCATCAGTTTATTCAGACATAGGTTTATTATTTTAAGTAAATACGGTAAAAAAATTAACAATTTTAGAATTTGGAAGCCCTATTCTATGCATCTTTGGAAAAATCGACTATCACCTGAATAGGCTAAATTTTCGCAATTTCTTTTAGACTATTTTAAACCCTCTCACACATTTCTGAATACAGTTTTTACACTGGCAACACATGTTTTTTACCTTAAAACATCCAAATGTTTAATTTCAATCATAAAAAATGACAATTACATAATTTTGCTTGTATTCTCGTTATATAAATTGCTATTAGACCAACCATAAAGCAATAATCCTCAAAAATTTTGACGTAAATGTTTATAGTACATTAGTTTTACATCTTCAAAGTTTTTAAAACTTTTACATTTTACTTGATGTTTTTAAGGAATATCTAAAAATATAAATTTGCCAGATCAATGTTTTTTAACATCAATGATCATGTATTGCAAATGCGACTTCCGGTATCAGAAAAATTGCATAAACTAATGATTTTTAAACATTCTCTAGCTTTCCTATGAATTTATTAAAGCACGAAGAGATTGAGTAAAAGTAAGGTAAAAACCAAACTATCTAACATTACCAAAAAAATATTCATAAAATGAGAAAAATTACTTTTTCAAACATCCTCCGGCTCCACTCTGAACTCTCTTTCCTGTCAAATACATTTTCTTAATATATGTGGCAACACCTCATTTATAAAAATGTCAATTGTTATATTATCAATAAATAAACAAATATCTTGGTTCAGATTTTATTTGTGACCGAGTGGCTAAAACTAAAGCTATGATTTGCATAATATTATATCCCAAGCTAAGTAAGCACTAGTAAGACCAATTCTAACGTATGGATGTCCAGTCTTCTGCTCATTGAAGGAAGAGTACTTCGACGCATTGCAAATCACACAAAACAGGTGCCTTTGGCTTATTCTGGTGCGCGGAAGTGAGCAATTCATAATGAAACTTTCTGAAAAATTCTACAATAATTTTCTCCTCACTGGAGCTGAAAGCGAACATTCTCGGTATAACAGCGGGTAACAACTTTAATAGGTAGCATATTTGATTTCTTGAAGAATTAACAATGTACAGATGCTAACATGGGACAAAAAATAAGTGAAAATAACAAACAAGATCCTTGCAGCGACTAGTTGCTAACTAGTGCACTACTCGATTACACTAGCGTCTATTTCTTGTGCTCTACAAATGAACCTGCTTCTGTGGCGACATCTAGTGAAGTAAGGTGAAGTGATAACGACAGCTGTTCAGTTCGTTCGGGCTTTTTAATTTGTTATGTGTCCTGTCAAATTTGGAAAATATAATTGCAACGTTGCCGGATTGTGATAAAATTAGTAGTTAATGGAAAATTGTGATTGCCCATACCGGTCCATAAATATGCATAAGCGCCGCCACCAAAAAACATCAACCCATACCTGGCTACGCCGACCGGCAGACTCCAACGGCTTGGACATAGCTCAAATTGAATAATTGAAATGAAAAGTTTCAAATAAACACATTTATATTCTGGTTTTATCATTTTTGTCAACTCCACATTTATAGAAATAAAAATATCAGTTGTCATATTATTCATAAACAAAAAATAATATAGAACGGTATTATCATGAATATATTTATTTAGAACAAATAACAAAAATCAATTAGCAACATCGCTGAAATCACGCACAGGCGCTCTTAGTGTGACTGTCAAATCGAAAAAATTAAAAACAATATGGCTACGTGAGAATGTCGTGAATAAATGCATGTTCTTAATTTTTTAGCTTACAAATGTGTTTTAATAATATTTGTTGCTTTAATTAGGTTAGTGCAGACTTATAGAAGATTAAAAAGTGTAAAAATATTATGGTTTTACTTAATCTTTATGGAAAAAGTGACAAAATTACTGTCCCTAATATCGTCCTTAGCCACGTTTATATATTTCTCTATGCATTTCATAATTTTTTATTATTATTACCTACGTATATTGGCAGTTTTATGTGCAAACAAACATGTCATAATGATTTAGTGATGAAGTCTTCAGTATAATTCAGTCGGCCACTTTTACACGCGCTAAATCATTTGAAGGTGAATGCTGGGTTCATTTGTAGAGCACAAGAAATAGACGCTATTCTCGATTACGCCTACGGTCACTGATTCTGGTCGGTGGGTGGATTGAACGGGGCGGGGCGTCAGATCTCCGATCGGACGACTGGCTTATCAATGCTGTTTGCGAGTAGTGTACACTACTAATTCGTAGAACATAACAGGCAACCACACACGTAAAAGAAAACCCTGTTTTTTCTTTCACCTTTTCAGGGAAAACAAAATTAAATTCATATAAAACCTACAAATTCACTTACTGCTCGCCAGTATCTCGGTCGGAATAGTCAATTAATGCTACTACGAAAGTAATTGCCTCCTGAAGGTTAAATAATGAACATCCTGCTTTTTGGAGTCTGGCATGAACATCTGCCATGGCCCCTTGTTAAACAAGAAGACCAAATAAAGATCTCTTTATTCTTCAAACTGAAAATGTAGATATATGATATATTGTAAATACAGTAGAACTCCAATTATCCGAATTAATGGGGACCGGGACCCATTCGGATAATCAAATATTCGGATAATCGGATTTTTTTTTAAAAAAATTGCCATTGGAGAGAATAAAAGCTACGTTTTGATATTGCACTATTTTTTTATTGAATTAAATGAAAGAAACATTAAATTTTCACATGTTTTAAATATAAATAAAATGTACTTATGTACAAGTTTAGAAATAAAAATCATCAAGTTAAGACAAGTCAAGTCAAGACTTGACGCGCATTTGTGATTCGGATAATCGGCGATTCGGATAGTCGGAGTTCGGATAATTGGAGTTCTACTGTAGTATAAAGATTATTATTAATAAACAATACTTTCTATTTTTTTTTAAACTTTGAAGAATAAAAACTAAGCAATTATAAACGTTTAAAAAGAAAATTTGTATGGTTAATTACTTTATGGATAATCTGATATTATTAATGATTTAATTGACTTTTTTGCCTGTCGAGACTGGACAACACATTTTAAAGATCTTAGGACTTGAAATTATTACGTATACTTTACTTTAAAGTGAAGCTTTCTGTAAGATTTCAAAAGTGATGGCGTATTTTACCGCATCTTTTATTTATTTTTGCTGGTGACGCCCCTTATCTGTAAAACGTTTTACAAACGAAATAAGACGGAATAAAAAAAATACTTTTTAACTAACGTTAACGAGCAATATTAATGGAACAATTATATCATTATCAAATTAAATAATAAAAACTAAAAAAAGAAAAATATACAAAATACTAGTGGTTAGACGAATATTTGGTCACTATATCTTTTGTGAATTTGGCAAGATGGAAGGCAATGTCTCTGATGTTGCCGAAATGTTGTTCTACGGATTTCATATCGCTAGTTTGGTTCGAAATTTGTAAGGCCGAACATTCCGGTTGTAACCTTGAGACGAGTTCTACCATCAGCTTGAGTCGATCCGCTTCTGTTTCCTGCGGATTAAAAAAATTACAATTATAGATGGTATGAAAACAATAGAATAGAAAAATTGAACATTTACCAGTACCTTTGGCAAGACAGAGGCCAGCCTTACAACAGATACTTTGACCTTCTCTGCACTAGTAACACATTCTTCTTTGTCGGGTTCTTGAATTGCTTTACATAACTCTTGAATGGTTCTCGTGATTTGTTCCGTGCACTGTAAAATAGTTTCCCTGTTTTGTGGTGAAGAGTAAAGACTTTGGGTGCCCCTTGAATCGTTTTGTTTCATCTAAAAACAAGTTACTGAAACATCATAATGCAATTTTTTTATAGACAAATATTTACTTGATTTTTCATGGCGTGCCAGTAAGGAACTTTGCTAATTCCTTCCCGTGTCTCGTACATACTAGATGGTCTTTGCGTCTTTTTATTTTTTCTGAAATCTATTTCATCAGCTGAGATACCATTAGTTAAACCTTCATCACTTCCATGATTCTGCAATAGCGGACATAAAAATGTGATTCAACTACAACAACTTTCAGTTATATTGAGATGCTATAATGTTTAAAATTTGGGAAGTTCAAGGTGTTATTGAGATCGTGTATATATTAAAGCAGATTAATATTTAGGATCTTCTAGAATGTGCAAAAATATTATTTCAGTCTCTGTCTGCAATTTTAATCTTAATAGTCTAATCGTGAACCACCCAATAACTTACCTTTTGGTACAGGAGGAGTACCAAAAGCTGTTTATTAATTTTATATACAGGGTGAACCTAAGTTGATACTTGTCTTTAACTGTATAAAATAAACAACTTTTTCAAAAAAATTCAAAAGTAATAAACATACATTAATTTATTCCAAAAAGTATCCAATTCGGTCCTATCTAACTTAAATAATGTGTTCAAAGTTGTCACCATTCACTGAAGCATTGAAACCAAGGTAAAGCGTTCTCTATATCTTCTGTACAATACTGATGCAACACAACACTTTGAAGAAGACATTCGCCATAAATAAGCAACACATTCACAAGTTCACTGTCATATAAACACGCTACTGATCACACCCGAGTGAATTTAATAAACAAGTGAAGCGTGATTCATGAAAAGAACCTTAACAAAAGGTAAAAAAGATAAAAACGTAAACAGATTTCTCATTCAGATTAATTTTTGATATAAAAGTCCAGACCCGGATTTAGATTTTTAATTTTGTATCTTTCTTATTTTTGAATTTTTTTTAAAAACATATTTATTTTAATGACATCTATACAATTAAAAAAAGTATCAACTTAAGATTCACTCTTTTTACAACAAGTATTAAAAAATTTAAAAAACCGACTTCAAAAACTTGCAGATGCCATCACCACATCTTAACCAAATTTATATGGGACCACCCTTGAGGTACCCCCTTACTAACAAAAAAAGAATCATATAAATCGGACAAGGTGGTAAAGCATTATCGCCAAATACATAAAAAATGAAGAGGTTGAGGATTTTCTCATGGACCCAATTATTAGATTTCGACCAAATTTATATGGGACCACCTCTGAAGTACCCCCTTTCGAACAAATAAAGAATCATTGAAATCGGACACCGTGTTAAAGAATTATCGCTGAACATACATAAAAAAAATAATATTGCGATGAATTGAGAACCTCCTCCTTTTTTGAAGTCGGTTAAAAATAAATAGTAGACCATGATTGCAGAACATTTTAACCTATAATCTCACATTCTTGGACCAGTTTCGTCCTTATTAGGATTCCGCATCAAAAGTACATTCATTTGGGTGTTGTTTTGTGGTGTTGTTGTCAAATTGGGGTTCTTGTGTTTTTTTTCATATTTTAATGAAGTGTTTTTTTACAAAGCAATTTACTAATATTAATAAGGTTTTAGTGTATGGAGCTGCTGAAGAAAATGCTCGGCAAGCAGATTCTTTATAACAGTCATACATTTATAGTAAAAGAATGGATACATACAATTATTGAACAGTTAACAGAGGAGATAAACAATGTGGCCGCGGAAATCCGACAATTAAGACCAGAACTTAATGTACTAAAACAGTACGAAAAAGATGGCTGATACTGACGCATGCGCACAAAAAAAATGTGATGAAAAGACCTGTTATTCAGAATGTGGCTGGTTTCAATTTCGTATTAAATCAAAACCTTATGGGTAGTACGATATTAGGCATTATTATTATTGTCAGAAAATGTTTTGACTCAGTACTAGTTAACTAACCAAAATCTCCCGATGTAATTTTGACATTAAAATTCTCAATATGTATGAAATGTAATATTAGTTATATTTCTTACTTCTGCAATATATTCTAGCGAATCAAATCCGCTATCTCCGTTTGCCCTCGATGAAAATTTACTATGCGATAATCTGCCCTTCAATTCCGTATTTTCCGTTTGCAGCTGTTTCACGCAATGCCTCAATTTCAACACTTCTTGTCTCAGATCCGTGATGGTGTTGTCGGAATTTTTCAACTGTTTCGTGAGTTGTTCCAAAATTTGATTAGTCTTGTTGATGCTGTCTATAGAGATGATGCTGTCCTTGTCGTTGGACGGAGATTTTTCGGTTTGTGGGGAGGTAGGGGGCTAGAAAAACGGATTAGTTGGAGAAGCAAAAAACAAACGAAATAAATGTTAGTAATAATTGTACCTCGTCATCGGGAACTACTGCGTAATCATCGTCCGAGGCAACCGAATCGTATAATGGGTCCTCATCTAAAGTTGATACTTCTCGCAATTGCATATTACCTGAAAAAAATAAAAAAGTAAGTTTTGTCGAATTTTTAATAGTATTACACTATTTTCCAAAATGAGTGATAATCAAATATCACTGGGATAAAATATGGAATATTGTATCTTAAGTTTTGTTGTGATAATTCCATTGAGGTAGTATGGATAGGACGTTAATAAAGTGGTACTTAGACTTCTGTCAGTTGTTTGAGTCAATAAATATTTTATGTTAAATCGTCTGTGACTGTTTTTATTTACTATTTTAATAAAAAAACATGGCGTCTTGTGATATACATGTTTGTGTAGCAGAGTGGGTGTAGATAAAAGCAAACACGAAGAATAACTTACAACGGACATAAGAAATGTTAGCCAATTTTGCCCAAGCTTAATAACTTTTTATTAGCATGGTTTGTTAAGGTTTTCAAAGAGGAAGAAGTTTTTTGATTTTTTTAAATATTATAATTTTCATTAAAATGGGCTTCTTTTCTTATAGGGGTATTAACACGAAAAAAATATTTTTTCTAAACCCACGTGGATATTAGCTTATCTACGCACATACTACAAAACGAAAAAGTATGCTATTGCATTCAACTGAACAAATATATTTCATATCCATTCTAGGTAGTGAGAACACTGCAAAAACCTGAAATCCACCAATTACAGTTCATATTCATATGCAAAAAATGTGTCTCACTCCAGTTTTAACAAAATAACTTTTAGATTTCCTTACGATCTGGTATAATTGCAGCTCTACATGAAATTGGTGGGTAGACCTAATTGGTAGCCAACAAAGTATAGTGTACTTTGTTAAAAATATTCGATAAAAAATATATTGATAGAACACATTATGTCCGATTGAGGACTGAATGCTCTAAAGAACAATACATGTACCTAAGTGTTCTATTATAAATAGATTTATTACAAAAGTAGTCGTTTTATTTTTAATTTATTTTCTGTTTATGTGTAAACTGAAAGTTTATATACATATATAAGAAGACCCACAAATATACCGGGAAAAGAAGCCTGATTTTAAAAACTACCTAATATAGATGCAATAGCCATTAAACTAATACTTGTTTGGTTAAAACGGAAATTAGTAGATTTCATGACTAGCAACCAATGCAAACAATTTTTTTTATATTCATTATTGTTACATGCAAGTTTAATGATAATAAATATGATTTTCATTATTTCAAAAAAACAACTACAGTAATTATTTAGAAAATATTCAATATGTAAAACATACGCCAAATATAAACATGGAAAATGAAGTTTATGTATTTTGATTTACAAGAAAAGAAAATATTATTAAGGAGATTAAATTATTGAATCAAAAAAGGTCACCTACATCTAACAACCTTCAATCTATACATATAATTATTGTATATATAATAAAACACTATAATTTAGAAAATGTTAGTTCGGTTGGTCAATTAGCCTACAAATAATTTTAAATACAACCCTGGTAATTCCGCCATATTGTTATTACAATAAAAACCTCGCCCACTCGTCCGATTTTCTGTTGACGTTGAAAACAACAAATGTGCCTCACCCTACTATACTACCTCAATGAGTATATGTTAACAAAAAAAAAAAAATAACGTAAAAACCTTACTCTTGTCAGAAACCATTTGCCGCCTTTGAGTATCTATCAAGATATCGTATACGAGACTTTTAAGTTCTGGAGTAGAAAATCTAGCCAACTTTTGCCTTCCTTGATTTCTTGTTGTGGATAATGTGTTATCGACAGGAAGAAAAGGAACATCATTTAGTTCCGTGGTATCAGCACAACTCAGCCAAACTAAAAATAAATAAATAAATGCATATTAAAAAAAAATGTATATTTAGGTTTTATTATTATTATCAATAAAGATCAGTAAGCGGTAAAACTGATGAGACAGATCTAACATTGAAAAGTCACATTCCTTAACTACATAGTACATAACATTAAGACATAAAACAGCAATTATCACAATTCATTAACTGATATCACAGTTTATCACAAAAGATCAATTGAAGCATTTTTAAATTCTTTATCTAGACGATTCTTGAACTGGTTAACTGAACTAGATATGGTAGTGTCCTCTTTTTTTTTTAATATACTTGGATGTACCAGATAAGTATAAATAAAAACTGTTTTTAAAATACTTACTGGCTTCCGTTTCTCTTCTATCGACTTCATCATAGACATCCATTGCGAGTTCCTCAAATACATGGTTACTTAACTAAAATATTTTTGAAGAAAATTTGATCAAAATTCATATTAATTATTCATCGTTTATAAATAAAACAACCTATGGTCTAAATATAATTATAAACCTTTCTTACCTTTTGTAGTTTGGTCAGTGAGAGTGCATTTGATTTGAAACCAGTTTGTGGGATGTAAAAATGATTGCCATTTATATGATCTGGTTTTCTGAGTGATAAATAATAACTAAAAGTATCAGTTACTTCGTATTGGCTTTCTACCAGGCGATTGGCTAAATCTTTGTTAGGAAGGGCCCTAAATAAAAAAATAAGAGTTGGATTATCGATTTTTTACCCAAAGAACAAAAATCTATATCTAAATTATTGCTCTTCTATATGGTTCCAACATCATGTAACGTATAAATGAAAAATTGATCGTGTTCAGAACAATTTCCTTAGGTACATAGACTTTAAATTACAAACGTTTTATGATTATACTACAATGGAACAGTTTTTAAAAATACCCTCTCTGGAAACCAGAAGAAAACAGAGGCCTGATTTTACTTTTTAATATTGTTCCTACTATTAATACCAGGCAATCACAAATCTATATCAATATATACAAAATTGTTTGTCCTGACTGACTGACCTATCAGCGTACAGCCAAAACTACTGAGCCTAGAAAGCTGAAATTTGGAACATAGGTTTACTTTATAACGTAAGCATCCGCTAAGGAAGGATTTTCGGAAATTTTAACTTTAAAGGGGGGAAATGGGGGAGGGAGCTTTTACTGAAACTCTTTGTTCTTTAAAGTTAGAAACATGAAAATTTAAATTGCATCTACTGAGCATAAATAAATAATGACGTGTTTCAGGGTTTTTGGATTTTTTACATTTTAAGGGGGGAAAACGGGGAAAATTGGAATTGCAGCTACTGACTACAAATTATTAATGACGTGTTTCAGGGTTTTTGGATTTTCACGTTTTAAGGGGGGAAATGAGGGGGTGAAAATTTATTTGGGAGTATCCATGTTTTTGGTTCTCATTAAAGTTAAAAACATGAAAATTTAATAAAAATTAATAAAATTAATAAAATTAACAAAAATTAACAAAAATTATTAAAAATTATTAAAAATTATTAAAAATTATTAAAAATTATTAAAAATTATTAAAAATTATTAAAAATTATTAAAAATTATTAAAAATTATTAAAAATTAATATAAATTAATAAAAATAAATAAAATTTAATAAAAATTAAATTAATAAAAATTAATAAAAAATTAATAAAAATTAATAAAAATTAATAAAAATTAATAAAAATTAATAAAAATTATTAATAAAAGTTAATAAAAAATAAATAAAATTGTACAAAAATGTATAAAAATGAATAAAAATTATTAAAAATGAATAAAAAATTATTAAACATGAATAAAAATTAATAAAAGTGAATAAAAATAATTAAAAAAATGAGTAAAAATAAATAAAAATGGATTATTATGAATAAATATGAAAAAATTAATAAAAACGAATGAAAATCAATAAAACTAATAAAAATAATAAAAAAAGAGGAAGTCATTTATTTTTTTACATTAATAACACGACTACATGCGAGCAAAGTCGCGAGCAAAGCCGCGGACAATAGCTAGTATTTTATATTCCTTTTTATAGACCTGATAGTACTTTTAACAGTTCCCAGGCAGCACACATTAGTATAACTAACGTATTTTATACGTAATACTCGTTTAATTTTGGTATTGGTTGATTCCGTATACGTTTACAGTTTACGATTATTATACATACCCTGTTTTAAACGATATATTATACGTTTTTTATATACATCCTATGGTATATATTTGTAAATTTTTCTACGTTTAAATATAGTTAACAATATACGACTATTTTTAGTTTGCGATGAACTATTTATATACAGTGGGCTTAAATATACGTTTAGGTTTATTTAAATTAAATTCGTATAAATTTACATTATATTACAATATATTTTCTTCGTTTATAATTCCCGTTTAAATTTCGTATTGGTTGATTTTTTAAACATTTACCATCTACCATTTTTATTCTTAACGTTTTTTAACAGATAAATTAAACGCTTCTGTTTGTCGATACTAGTTAATATACCTATATTATTCTACGTTTAAATATAAGTCACCTTAAACGCATAATACCAGTTTACGATGAACTAGTAGACAGAAGTAAATAATATGTATATATTTAGGTTTATTTAAATTAAAAGCTTATAGATACATTTATTTACATTACATCCATATTTTTTTAATTATATTACCTGTAATATTTATAACAAATTCCCCATACACATGGAACTATTTTTAGATAACGGATGGAGGATGACTTACTAGTGGTACGATCTTTTCTCATTTCTACTCATGCGTATGTGTAGTATTATTGTTCAGTGTAGGGAATGGTTTGTGGGAGCAGGTTCACCGGTTCGTCCATTTTCATTTGTGTACACGTTTTGTTGCATGTTGCTTTGGCGTCCTGGCTTTTACGATATTGATTAAAAGCATAGGTAAGTTTCTATTAATGTTTTAATTTAGCTACTCCTTTAATAATTGTTGCATTTTACAACAACTACTGTTTTATAGGTACGTACAGTGTGTTAAATGCTTCAAAACATAACCTTTTGTTTCTTTTATTTTTATACGTATTTTTTAGGTTACCTAGTTATTCCAAGCATACTTATTTTCCTTTTTTTTTTGTCATTGTTTTTTATTTAATAAAATGTCTAAAATAACCCTGTCGCTGCGTCATCTACGTAGAAAAATAGCGCAAAATGTTCAAAATGCTTTAAAGTCAAATCATTTTTTTTTTATTCCCAATGAAGATAACATTAATAAAGCTTCGGACATTAATATATCATCTGATTCTATTATTTATAATAATTTCCGAAAAAATAATACAAATTTAACTTCGGAGCTTTTAGAAAATATTTCACCTGAAATTAAGTTACATTTTGGTTATAGGAATGGGGGTGAACCAAGCGACTTAACCGACCCAACAATTAGGTGTGCCATGCAAGATTAGCTTAAGTTAGCTAAGGCCCGTCTAGGACACAACACATCCAAATAAGATTTTTATTTTCATATATATTTTTTGTTAGTTAAAGAAAAGTTTCGTTTAGTTTGTTATTCAGTATTTTAGTGTTTATTTTTTTGTATTTATTTATTTTTAGTATTTTATTGTTTATTTTTTTTTTAATTAAATATTGTTCTGTACATATAACAAGTGATCAAAAAAAATTTCTAAATATTTAGGCCAATTACAACCAAAATAGAAACACGAGTAATGCCTATTTCTGGTGTATACACACCTGCTATGGATAAAATCCAAACTATCATTTAAGAAATATTAACATTTTTCCATTGGCCTCTTTTAGAAATTTTGTTTTGATCACTTTATTTAATTTGTGCTTAAAATACATTTAAAACAATATCAGGTAGACGCATTTTACACAATAATAAAAATCATACAAATATATCTAATATAGACATATAGTAAAACAGGATAATTAAAGGTAGATAAAGTAGTAATGTTAGACGTATAAAAAATAAAAAAAATATACGTTTATAGGGCGGACATTTTCACGTATATATTGGGTAGCATATCAACAGTATCCATACGTATATTGTAGTACATAAAAAAACGTATTTTATACCAAAGTGAATTCGTATAAATATACTACAACTATAAATCTAATATAGACGTATAGTAAAAACGTTTAATTATAGGTGGATAAATTCTTAGTAATCGACGTTTATAAGGCGGACATTTTCACGAATATATTTGGTAGTACATCAACCTAATTCATACGTATGGTAGTACCTAAAAAAATACGTAATTTATATCAAAGTGTGCTACCTGGGTTGTATTCCTCGGATACTTAGACTGGCCAATTCTCTGGATAATATTATATTTGACTCTTCTGTAAATAGATTTAGGCACAACATTCAAAATACACCAATGTAATTTTTAATAATTTATTGTAACTTAAATGGGCTTGCCCGTAAATAAATAAATAAATAAATAAATAAATGAGTTTCAATTCAGAAAAACCAATCACATGCCAGAACATTTCTTAAACGTTTTAATAATTTTTTGGTAAATAAAACAGGTTTAAACTCGTAATGTTATAAAACAAAACATTTTGGTCTCACCTTGCATACTCTATAGGCGTTTTGCCATGATTATCTGGACATGAAGGATCTGCCCCATATACTAATAATAACTCAACTTGTAATTTTTGATCAGATTTAGTTGCAACATGCAATGGAGTTGAACCTTTTTCCTGGAATGACAATAACAGAGTTAAGTATTAAATTTTTAATTCAATAATGTACTGTTAAAATTGAGAATCAAAAACCAATTTCCGTAAATTAGAAAATTAATTTAAAAACTGAATAAATATATCCTTGCGTTATTCTGGAATAATGGTACACCCGATATGTTTCTAATTGACTTGTACTTATAACTTCATTTATTTCATAAAACTTTTATCAAAAACCTTTTTTGTAAACATATCACTAATTGATTATTTTTTGCACACACTGTATATTATATTTTATTTATGATGTAACCAAAGTTTTCTTTCGTTAGAAGAGATTATTTATACAGAGTGTTCCGTAATGATGTTCCAATATTTCAACAGGGTGTTCTATCAACTATTAAAGAAGTAATTTTTCAATTTGGACTTTCTGTGGAAATATTTAAATTTTAAACTCTTTTGAAAACGGTTAGACATACCAAAGAAGGCAGCAGAGCACCTACGGAATTTTGACTTTTACCAAAAAAAATTACTATTTTTTTTTTCGAAATATTTTATAATATATCAAGAGCCTAAAAATAGCTTAAAAATGTGGCATGTTTCAGAAAAAAAAATTACTAAACCGATGCACTCTGCTGACTTTGTAAATAGCAGTTTTTTTAGTAAAGTGTTATAATATTTCAAGAGCCTAAAAATAGCCTAAAAGTGTGGTGTGGTTGTTTTTAGAAAAAAGCTTTAAAAAACTGTGGTGCTCTGATGAATTTGTTCAAAGCTAGCTAATTTTTAGAAAATACTAATTTTTTCCAAAAAAATTATATTTTAAGAGCCTAAAAATATGGTGTTGTTTTTGTTCAATATCTGAAAAAATCTAAGGTGCTCTGCTGACTTCGTTCGAAGCTAGCAGAGCACCTTCATTTTAGCAAAAAAACGAGGAGCATAAAATGTTTGAATAGAATATAAAAATATGGCATAGGTATCAACTCAAAATTCCCTAGGTTCTCTGCTGCCTTCTTTAACATTGGTTAGACTTATAAATTCTAATTTTGTTACACATTATCCACTAGTGGAACCCAAATTTTGTCTAAGTTCATGTTTCTGAAGGGTAGAGATTAGCAACAGTTTATGTATGAAAAATAAAAATAATTTATCTCAATCTGCCCATAAATTGTGTCTAACCAAGAAATAGTTATTCATTATAGAAGGGAAAAAGTATTAGATTTTGGCTTGAGGTTGTATTGTCTCCCGACGCGAAGAGGAGGGAGTCAAAAAACCGAGAGCTAAAATCTAATATTTTAACCATGTATAATACACTATTTTTATCTGTGACTGGAAAAACAACGATTTAATATTGAAAAAAATATTCTGAAGTACTTACCTTTACTTCTACTACTTCTTTCCCGGAAAACAAGGAAAAAAGTAATTTCATAAAAAGTGACATTTTGTTACCTGACAAGAGAGATAAAATGTCAAACTTTTTTTCCCATCACAGAAAAAAATATTTTTTTTTATTTGCCATTTTGAGACTTAAATATCTCAACAGAGGGGACCCAAATTGCTAAATGTTATAAGAAAACCCCACCTCCTAAATGGTTGGTAGAACACCCTTTTACAATATTCGGGCATCATTATTTACTGTATATTTTTTATTTAAAATGTCATCACAATTTTTGCAAAAATCTTACCAAACGACAACTTATTTTTGCTACTTACATCATGAAAATAGTTAGGATCTGCTCCCAAAGCAAGTAAACGGAAAGAGGTTTCCAAATTAGGTGTCCTTACACTGGCATGAAGTTGTTTTCCTAATTCATTTTCGACACTCATAAGACCATCTTCATAGTTTTCTCTAAATGCGTAAGCGCATTGGAGGTGTTTTTGCTTGATATATTCATGTTTCACGCTGTATATATATAAAAAAAAGGAAGTTCATTTGAAAAAGGAATGAAAGATATTCATCATCCACCTCTGTGATTTGAGATTAAATATGAAGCACATTGTTTTAACAACTCGGGATTGACTGGTGATGGTTTCTATAGAGATTTCCATTCGATGAATGTAGAGGAAGTGACAAATTTTCTTTCCCAGTTTAATTGGGATGTTTTATTTATTTATTTGTATCCAAACAGGCCAACGGCCTTATTACATGGATAAAAGTATCATAATACATAAATAATAATAATATTAATAATAAACAGTAGGTAATTCAACTAATATTACAACTTATTCAGTAAAATAATAATTAATCGAGAATAATGTAATAATTAAATACAAGTTTTTTCGGAACATATTAAATGGTAGTGTCCAATCTACATCAATACAAGTGAATATTATTTGCCAATCGGAGCATGGTCACAAGAGGTGACCTGGCAGTGGTAAGAACTAAAGGAATATTAACCATACATGGATGTCTCATTTTCCTCGGAGGTACATTAAATCGTATTAAGTATAGTAGCTCAGGTGAGTTAATTTTATAGTTAATAATTTTATATAAAAAAATCAACATTATCATATTCCTTCTGGTGTGAAGCGAAGGTATTTTAAATTCTTTTCTTAAGTTTGCAGTTCTAACAACATTGTAGTCTGGGTATATATGGAGTTTTTTGAAATAAAGATATCTAAGAAATTTATTCTGTATTTTTTCAATCTCATATAGATTAGTTGGATGTTCTCCTATCCATACCTCAGCTCCAAATTCAAGTGTTTGTCCAACTAGAGCATAATAAAGAATTTTTATAGATTCTATGTCAGTAAAACTTCTAGTTTGCCTAATTATGAACCCCAGCATTCTATTTGCAGCCTTAACTATATTTTTTACATGATTAGAAAAAGATAGAACACAATCGTAGGTTATACAGAGAACAAGAGTCTTGTGGATATGATTAATATCTTTTACGACATTGTGTACCTGACAATTGATATTTTTGTTCCATTAAAAAATACTCAGCAAAGAAGTTTCCTGTTTGGTTTTCCCCAGAGCTAAAGCAAGCGATAATTTAAAAAAATAAAATAGATAAAAAATACTTGGACAGTAGATCACTAAATGATTATAATGAATTTTCTTTATTAAGGGCTAACTGTAAACACTTAGAAAAACAATGTTATCGAAGTTATGTTACATTAACGGAACCGACTCTTAGGGTCAATGTTAAAATTTTTTGAAATTTGTAAACAGTAGAAAAGGCAAAAGTAATGTACCTTTGGTAATGCATTATGATAATATCACTAGTTCCTCTGGCATGGAGATTGTCAATTTGTTTGCTGAGTATTTTTCTAAAACTTATAGTGATAAGAATTATAATTTGCAGGATACTTTGCCTTCTAATGACATCAACCTATCACAATTTTGTATATCTATGTCATAAATCTATGAAAAACTATCAAAATTGGATATTAACAAAGGGCCAGGCCCTGATGGTCTTCCACTATCCCTTATTAAACACTGTAGCTTTTGTTCTCCAGACCCCTTTTTCATATCTTCAATATTTCTTCAAAAAGCGGGACATTCCCAGCGTATTGGAAAACAAGCTTTATTACTCCTATACTGAAATCCGGAGATAACTCACAGGTTGATAACTATCGATCTATTAGTATATTGAGTTGTATACCTAAAGTATTTGAGAGCCTTGTTTGTGATTATTTATCAGCTAGTTTAAAAAGCTGATTTATTAATAAACAGTTTGGATTTATTTCTCATCATTCAGCAGAGCTTAACCTTTTAACATTTACTGACTATCTATTGGAATCCCTAGAGGACAGTTATCAAGTACATGCTGTGTACACAGATTTTAAAAAAGCCTTCGATAGAGTTAACCATAAAGTTTTAATTATTAAGATGCAGTGTTTGGGAATTCAGGGGGAACTGCTTGAAGGGCTATCTTCTTACCTTACTGAAAAAATACAGATAGTGCATATTCATGGCTTCCAATCAATAGGAATTTAAGTATCATTAGGTGTACCTCAAGGTTCACACTTGGGCCCTCTTCTATTTAATTTATATGTGAATGATATTGCATCCTGTTTTATCTTTGCCCTATTCCTAATGTTTGCAGATGATTTAAAATTGTATATGAGAATAAAGAACGAATCTGATTACATAAAACTGCAAGCTGATTTAGGTCATCCCAGCAACTGGAGTAAAATCATTGGAATGGAACTTAATGTTAAAAAGTGCTATCAAATGGTCTTCAGTTGCAACAGATGTCCCACAGAACAAATAATCTACAATATTAATGGTTGCCCTTTGGAATCAGTATCTCAAGTTAAAGATTTGGGTGTAGTCCTCGATTCCAACTTATCTTACGTACCCCATATATCAATGGCAGTCTCAAAATCACTTCAAATGCTAGGCTTTATTAAACGTTGCGCTAAGGATTTTTTAGAGTTATATTCCATTAAAATATTGTTTTGTTCACTTGTGAGGCCCCATTTAGATTACTGTTCATGTGTCTGGTCCCCCCACTACAATGTTCATATTCAAGCCATTGAAAGAGTTCAGCATACATTTTTAAGATTTATTTCATTTAAGGATCACTGTGGAGTTGAGGATATTAATTACTCAAATATTGAGAGTTCCCTTAATATTACCACTCTTCAGATCAGACGCATGCACAAGGATCTTACCACATTCTACAATATACTGCACTCATATAGCTTTAGTCCAGAGCTATTGGGAAAAATCAATATTCATGTTCCTTCTAGACAAACAAGGCTTATTCAGCCCTTTAATATTATACAACATCGGACTAACTATGAACATAATTCTTTTCTATCAAGATCAGGTAGATTTGCTAATCAATATTCTGATAGATTGGACTGCTTTGATAATAAAAAAGTCTTTAAATCCCAGCTTAAATCATGCATGTGATATTTTGATGTCTAGATAATCTAAGATAATTTAATTTATTTGCAATTGTTATCTTGTTTTTTTTTTTTAATATTTAATTTTTTCTTGTTTATGTTAATTTTATGGTAATGTGTGTTTCTTTGTTTCAACATTCTCTAAGTGTAGGTTAGGTTTTAAATTATCCCTTTTATTAAACTTGTATTTTAATTGGGCAATTGCTCGTTGATAAATAAAATTTTGTAGGTAATATTGATACTTTTTACTTCTTAAAATGAGTAAGTTAAAAATAATTGTACTAGATTAGGATATGGCCAATATAGACAGATATTAAGGTCAGACATAGGTGATTTATTCCCTGGATAAATCTAGAATTAAATTTTGTGTTTACTAATTATTTATATTATACAAAATAAAATAGTTAAAACAGCATCAACAGGAGACAATAATTGTAAAACTTGGTTATTGATTTATACTATGCAAATTAAACAAGTTTTTTTTAATAGGCAATAAAAATTTTAGTAAACAATCCAATTTAATTTATTAGTATTAGTAATTTTCTCATTAATGATGATGACAATTGTTCCTTAAATGATTACTTTAAAGTGACTCATGTTCACGATAACCATTATTAATCTATCTTTGTATTTAGAATTAAACTTTACATTAAATGAAATCCAATTTTTCATAAAGCATTTTAATTAACAAAAGTTGAATTGTAACTGAAATAGATTTGAATATTGTGATATAATTCAAGAATAATCAGCATTCAATCAAAACTAGCATTATAACCAAACAATTAGCTATAGTAATAATACTTTTTACAAATTACTTTAGGCAAATCTTATCTATTTTTGTATTGTGGGAAGAGTGAAATAGAAAAATAATTCGGCATCTATTCTTTAACTGTTTAAATAAAAAGGGTAGTGATTAAAATTTAATAATATACTTTTAAATTTTTGAATATAAAATGATATATTTGAAGACTGTGATTTTTATTTGACAAATAATGTCCCCTAATAATACCCGTTTAATGATTTTATTTCAAGTTTAGGAAAATTAGGAAAATTTCTAATATATTACTAGACAAATTATACATAGAAAAAAAAATCATGTAAAATTGTAAGAATTTCATTCAACACTAATAATTACCTAATTGGATCTTTAGCATTAGGTTTCTTTTTCATCAATTTAGCCCCATTTTCAAGTAAAGCATGCTCCCAAATATTATTAGCACCATTATTATTCAAAGTACACACCATCTGAAATAAATGATTAATAAATACACAGGCACTCCTTAAAATCGAGAACGAATTACATTTAGTTGGTTTGGATGCCATGTACTCTTCAACAGAGATTTCACGTGCGAGATGTGTCTTCCTAAGCTGCGGTGAATACTGCAACATTGAGTACATAATAATATTCCCTTGTTTACTGAAGCCCAGGTGGCATCTAAAAGATAATTAAAGATTTGTTTTTGTAGGCGGATTCAACAATAACACTTACCCAAAGCCCCGCAGTCTCCGCACACTTCTATATTATGTTTTGATTTCGTTCGTGACATTGTAGAATTGGTAAGTAAATGATAATTATCAATAAATACGCTTGAAATTAAATAAAAACTTAAAATAAACACAATAAAAATAAACCAAAATAAGATCTTTCTATCTACACCATTTTCAAGATTATGTCAGCTGTCATGTTAATTTTATCCAAGAACAATCATAGAACTTGTATGACTAGACGAATAAGGAAACAAGGAAATCATGAGGAAACAATAATCTTTTTTTCCACTCGTCATCGGCATTAACTACTCTGGTTATTAACCCCGTGTTGTATTCAGAGTTTGTTATTGTTTTCCAGCGTCACTTTAAGATTAAAGGCTATTCCATTATTTTTTATTAAATATTATAAAACAAGTTAGCACCACAAAAAAAAAGAGAATTGAAAACCCAAAGTTTATTTTTAATACATTAGTCCGTGAGCCGACTAGTTCGATAAATTAAATAATTGCTGTTTACTTTTCACAAAGATGTTTTCAATTTTGTTTAATATATACTAGTCCTCCTCTTATCGAGAGGATACGTGCTTTTTCGTTAGCTACATCCTTACCCAGATATTTTGCTAAACCTTCTGATGCTTCAAATCAGAGATATGACTCGAAAGGCACATAGTTCGGGATCTACGGTTTTATATCCAAAAGATAATATTATCCCCACACAATCTCATGTTTACTGATTATGCGATTATTATATCGATGGCTTAGGACCGATTCCACCGTTGTGTTAAACGAAAATTAAAATGACATTTTTACATTAACAATGCATTTTAATCTCCGTTTAACACAGCGGTGGAATCGACCCTTAGCGAACACAGGTGTTAACTGCAATTTTGGTAACAATTTAAAATTACCTATTCTATAAAACACCACTGGCAGATAAACATTACCGCGAATTCTCGAAATAGTCCGACGTGGTTTGACGTTTACCCCTTCTCTTTACCTACTAAAAGCCTTTCCAACTTCTGCTCCTATTATTCTTACTTATATTTGTGCAAATAATTTATCTTTATTTCGCTTTATTATGTAATTAGAAACAACGAAGAAGTGTTGAAAGGGTTTGCTAGATACATATTTCATCTGAAATAACAGAGAGGTAGAGTTTCAAACCTTTAAACTTAAATTGTGAAATATTAGCAAAATACTACTTAATCGATATGCAGTTTTTCGTAGTTACTATGACAAAACAGTATAATTTTCCGACCTATTCAATTTACTACCCTCATTTTCTCTATCCATACCCATCAAATTTAGAACCGATTCCACTGTTGTTTGTTAAACGGAGATTAAAATGATATCGTTAATGTAAAAATGTCATTTTAAACTTCGTTTAACACAACGGTGGAATCGATCCTTAGTCCAATAAAATAAGTCAGCATTTGAAATTTGTAACTGAAACTGACTTACCTCACCCAGGTACCTTCATAATTTAATAATTTTATTTTAATAAAGAGAAGTTGCATTCTTATTAAATTCAAATTCCTACATATAACGAAAAATCTTCGTTATAAATAAAAGCAATATTTCTGTTCGCGGTGTCTCTAATATTACAGAAAAGATAAAAGTTAATACCTCCTATCCCCCGAACGCTGTTAATGTGCCACGCCGTATTTCCCAACGCTTGCTGTCCCTAAATATTTCCCTTTGTCTCGCAGCAGCACCATCAAGTATTTTCTACCGTATATCTGTCCCGACGCAGTACCGTAATAAATACCTTTCTCCCCACCACGGCGTTAGAGGCGCCTCGACGCAAGGCGGCGCTCAACGCAAGGCGGCGCTCAACGAAAGGCGGCGCTCAACGCAAGGCGACGCTCAATGCAAGGCGACGCTCAACGCTGCGACTTACCTAAATCGACGCCGTCACAGCGCTAGATACGTAATATCTAGTATAGACGAATCTAATGTCTGTATTTTCAATGGTGAGTCAAAAAATTTATGTAACTTTCTTTATGAGATACCGCACCGGGGTTTCGTTTGAATAAGGGCCTGACATTTGTTTCAAAATATTATCAATGTAACCAATAAACCATATGGCTTTCGGGCATTCACCTCGAAAGACAGCTACGTTAGACATCTGTTTTTCGATGGGTGAATTTAAGTATTTTAATAGAAATTATAAAAATCAATATTTAAGGAATACAAGGTTGTATTAAGTCATTTTAATAGAAATGACAAAAATCAATATTTAGGAATATACAGGGTCGTATTAAGTCATTTTAATAGAACTTATAAAATCAATATTTTAGAAATATACAAGGCGATGTATTATCTTGGATAAATTATACAAACCGAGATAGTAAAATGTAACAGTAAGTTATTCAACTGGTAAATACACTGTTCGTTAGCTCTATGCTAAGCCACCCATTCTACTAGGTTTGAAACAAAGTATATGTGAAATCAACATAGTAAGGTAAACAACTGGCGAATTGACGCTGTTTGTTAACTCTGTTGGTGATCAAGCTAAATAAGAATATAAACATCAACACAGTAGTAAACCAACTGGCCAATTGACGCTGTTCGTTAACTCCGTTGGACATCAACCTAAATAAAATATATCTGGATAGGAAATGAACGTGGTCTGCGTTTTGCGTTTGAACGGTACTCAAGTGAGATCTCAGTAAATATAGTTCATATTAATTGTACCTAATATACTTTGCAAATTATTACATCACATTTAAAGTATGAAAAATAAAAAAGTTTAAATATTTTAGTTCAAGTACGACTTACCCAAGTCCGACTCAGGTAAGTTTTGTTTATAAATACAGACCTTATTAGTCGTATGATTTATAGCATTCGCATGCAACTCATGTTGCAAAAGTTGTAATAAAAATAAAATAGCCTTGCTTGTAAACATTTCACTAAAAGTACACAATAAACCAATTTTTTTCAATTCCGGTTTCTCATCTAGTTACAGACTGTCTCTATGGAAAACTTCTTCTGCTTTTTGAATGTCTATTGTCTATTACTTATGTACATATTAGGGCCGAAAAAATTGTTTTGTAAAAGTAATTTACAAACGTTCACATTTATTTAATAATACGAAGAATTTGACATTTACATTATAGGTTATTTTATTTTGGCGGTGTTTTTCTTAACCTGTTTGTCGTTGTCAAAGATAAATTAATGTCGTTGTTTGTTTTTGAATAATTGTTAAATTTATACGAAAATAGGAAGTGTTAAAATGTAATTGTGTGTGGATCCACTATATAAAACAGTAAAAATGAGTGCAAGCGACCTTGATAACTGTGCTAGTTTCCTAGAAAGTGACAAAGTTAAAGAACGTGGAAATAGTTGCATAAAGTTAAGCACACATTTGGAAAACAAGAGTATCGTTAAAATACTCAGCAACAATGGAGTATGCAAGATACTTATCCGTTCCTTACAAACCTGCATGAAAAAAGTAATGTATTTATTTATTTTATTAGAAACTAGTAAACTTAAAAGGAAAATCAGATATTCTAAACAGTTTCCGCCAATACAATTATTTCACGAAAAACTCATGTTAACAGTTGCGAAACGAAAACAAATAAAAATAAACCTTTTTTATATTATTAAATTATTATTGAAAGTTTATACGAAAAAAGGACAGGCTGATAAAAATAGAATTTGGTCAAACTTACAACCTAGTAATAATGTTGTTTTGGTCCTTATTTTCCATTATAAACCAGAACAAAATAATTAAAACACAATAGTTAGGTACATAAAAAAACCCACTTTCTTGAAAACTAAATAAATTTAAAAAGTATTTATGGACTCCAAATAATTATTAAACATGTATTATAATATCCAAATCATAATTCTACAAAATTTCAACAGCTATTTACAATTTGTCAAACTATTTACTCGAAATTGTTATTAACATCTAGTGTTAGATAACCAAAGCTGTACTGTATTCAGTCATAAAAATACATAAGTCAACTACTAAAAAATTATTGTTGACACAATACTAGCAGAAGATGGAATAGTAACACTACGTTTGCCACTGCATCACCCAGAGCTGAACCCAAGAGAGAAAATATGGGCACAGGTGAAGAATGAAGTGCCTGCCTGTAACAACTCCTTCAACCTGAGCAATGTGTGGAAATTAACAGAAGAAAAATTTTGATGGCATGTCAATTACGCAATGAAAAAATATTTGTGCTCACATAGAAAAAATTGAAAAAGGGAGCATATTATAGATAAGGTAGAAGATCTAATAATACATTTGGGAGAAGATAGCAATGACTGGGAGCTACATCGTCAGAAAATGCACTGGATAAATATGAAGATGATTTGGCCTATTTGAGTTGCCAACTATTAGAATAATTTAATAATAATTACAAGTACTTTTGGATGCCATGTTGGCAAATGGAAAAATAAAATATTAATTTCTTTATTTTTATAATAAATAAAATAATATAAATTTTCCTATTTTTAGTTTTCGTTATTTTAAAAATCAAGATAGTTTACTCTTGAGACAAAATAGTATTTTTCAATCTCTCTTGTAAAAGAGGAACAGATTTTTTTAATCGTACTTTTGTGTGTCATTTACATAGAGTTTTTGTACAGTGTTGCATTTTTCAAGAGATATTCCACTTTACAAGTCGTTGAGGATAAATTAATATGATTTTCTATTTGTCAATAAAATGATTTAAGTTATTCATATACAACTATCAATACAAGAAAGTAATATTGGTTGCCTAGATGTCAGTAATTTTTTATCAAAACACAATTTTACAAATAATAAGTCAAAATTAGAAAAAATATTGTATGTAACACGTTACAAAATGCAGTTTTATGTAACTCGTTCCTCTTTATTTTTTTACATAAAACAATGCATTTTGTTACTGGTTGCATAAAAATTAATTAAAATCTTTCTACACTGGAATGCCTTCCTCTTTAATTCTTCTATTTTCTATTGTCTCTTCAGATATAGGTGTTGTATTTGTAGTTCAACTGTCCCATAGTTTTTAAGTTGTTGAAAACCAGATCAAATAGAGTCCAGAATGATGAAGATAATTGACTGGATTCTATTTAAGTGAAAGTTGTTTAATTATCATTGTACATATTAAGAGACCATAGAAAATAAAAAAAGAAGAAATATAGTAATTTTAATTTGAATTTTAAAAGTTTAAAAAGTTCAGTTTATTAGGAAATACATATTAAAATAGTTATTTTCCACCTGAGATAAGTTCCACTCTTTGTTTTAAGTCACTTAAGATGAGTGTCAACGACTTTGAGACATGCATATATTATTTGGAGAGCAATATACATTCACAAAGAAGGAAATTCTGTGTAGAATTAAATAAATATAGTGAGAAAAAAACTGCAATTCAAAGAATATGCAGTGATAAAACTTGGAAGAAACTCTTACCTTCATTAATAATTTGCATGAAAAAAGTAATTGCCAAGTATTTCTCTAAAATTCCTATACCTACCTTTTTTTTTTTAATTAAAGGACTATTTGCATTGAAAATATAATTCTTCAATTTGATAAGGTATTAGGTAATATTATTTATATTACCTTAGGTCATTGATTCTTGAGTATCAATTTGAATATTTGCTTATTATCTGGTAAGATTATGCCATAATGTTAACCAAGTTTACTAAGTAGAGCTGTGGAAGTAGCAACTAAATGTATACCCTTAACAATTTTGTACGCATGGTTGGACTATTTTAAAATGTATTCGTTACTCTTTACTTTCGTTACTTGATATTTCATTTCAAAGATTGTTTTATTCTAGTATCATTACCGAATATTGGCATTTGCGCCGACAATTTTTTAAAGAAATATTGTTCATTTTATACTTTTTATGGACTGAAGTTATTTTAGTTACTTTAGTTAAAAATATTTAAAACACACCTGCCTAATAAGAAGGCATATTTTGTAAATTATAACAACATACAACATACAAGATAAATTATTATTTATTTTACATTTAAGAGAGATACAAAAATATAAGAATATAATGTTTTTTTTTTTTAATTTGAAAGTGAACATTACCTACATATCGCATTTAGATGAAATAAAATTACTAGTGCTGAAATTTTAAATACTTAAAAAAGGTCCTACCTAAAGTTAACAACTCTATTACATTTTTTCATCTCTAAGGGAAATTTGTTGAATTCAAGCAGACCATTATTAAATAGGGATTTCTCTGTGAGTTATTAGTTAGTATGAGTGACATAAAAGTTTGTGTTGCTTCTAGTGGGCTATGTGTGAATGTCATTGTTGTAAGTAATAAATTGATTAAAGTAAGTTGGGCTGTGAGAGTGTGTCATTTTAAAGATGAATACCATCACTGAATAAAAATTTGATCTTCTATTGATAGCCAATTTCAAGTATCCAACATTAACTAAATCGGAATATGCTGATGACATTTTAATAGTAAGCACATTCTTCTGTTTTGTTATTTCTGCAAAGAGGCAAGCTACTGCAGAATTCTAGATGTGGTTGGATAATAGATTTATCTAACTAATATTGCTGTATTAATGTCACATTCCTTCATAATCTACTGAAAAAATACCGCTTTTTTGAGATTTTGCCGAAAATATAATTAAAATGTTTTTTCATACTCAATGCGTTATCTATTTGAAATCAGAGGCACTTTAACTCTGTAATAATTTCAATTTGCTCTCCAAATATTTCCTGATTAATAAGTCTTGGTATCTGTTTGCCTATACTTATATTCAGTAGTGATAATCATCCCCTTTGTTTTATTTATATTAAGTTTGAGGCGATTTGTATCTAAAAACCTAAACAGATTTTGTAGTGCATTGTTAATTTTGAGAACCACTCTTTCTAATATTTAATCTGCAGCTGCAATCATACTATCACCCTCAAATACATTATGAGACTCACAACTTTACACATACCTATGAAGACTAGATATAAGGAGGCGAATCGGCAATGCTCAAAATTTAAAATTTCTGTCCTTTTTAAAAAAGTTCGCTAAATTGACTGTAGTTGGAAGGGCAAACGTCACTAACGTTCATTTTCTATATAAGTCAGTGTAAAATTAAGTGATTTTTTAAAAAATTGGTGAAAAGAATCAAAATAATATGAAAAAAGTATCTTGAGTACAAGTACCACGAGTGACAAAAAAACGTTAAAGCAAGATTCACTTCGTTCCACTTTGTAAAACAGAATTCAAATCACATGTAAAACTAAAGAAAACACAAGGAGAAATCAATTCAATGTCTTTTTAAAGCTTCTAATGTAAGTAAAATAATGTATTTATGTCTAAATATAATATTTATTGAAAACTAGTCACAACACGTATCACAGAGTCTAGTATATTTCATTACAAGTTTCTATAAAATAAGATTTTACAGTCATAGATCCTGACTTACAAACAGCAATAATTATACATTAAATTTAACTTACTAGAAAAGAAAATTTGTTTTTTTAGAGTTTTAATGTTAGATAGAGTTGCTACTGTTATTTTTTTGTTGAACCCCAATTTTGTCATTGTAAATGTTTTTTATAGGATCCAAAACGCTTACAACAGTGGCAGCATATATAGTTCCTAGGGCCGATAAAGCACTTTCTAGAGATGATGCTGTTCTACAGTTTTTAGAAGAGATTCTTAGTATGAGATTCTTTTTACTGATGGTACTGTTAGCAAAATAAAAAGGGGATGTGGCAATATCATATACATTCCCAAATCTCCCTTTATGCTTGTATTAAAACAAAAAAAAAATTGTTAACTGTGTTTTATTTTGCTCTTAACTACTATATTTAGGTATAATTCAAAAAAAATTAGACACAAAATTGTACTTACAAAATTTTACCATTTAACAAACTTTTTGAATTGAGTCATACCTACCTAAATTGCATTTTATATAGATAAAATTAAATAATTTATTAATTAAAACATGCGAGACATTTAGAAATAAATACAACAGTATATGCTGTGCTTTATTTGGCACTAAACAAGTTTATTTTTGTTATTTTGACAAAATTATGTAAAATTTCCATAAGAAGCCATGTATTTTGAACAGCGGTACTAGCACCAGCGCCCTTACGGTGAATTAAAAAAAGCTCAATTAGCGTTCGTTTTTGGGACCGTATTTTGAGTATGCTGATTCGCCTCCTTATCTCTAGTCTTCATACACATACCTAATGTCATTGAGGTACATCTTTTTATAGCACTAATTAGGTATTTTTCTTACTCATTCACCTCTGTAGATCCAAATGTTTAATCAATTTTATTTGTTCTTTTGGCGTCTGTTCCGGAATTTTATAAGCATCAAATGTGATAAATGAACGTGATAAATGATAAAAATGCCATTCTTTTTTTTTCTGAATTTTTTATATATCTGATTTCAACTAGTGAAAAATAATTGACTAATGAAATTCTATCTCATCTCGTCCTTTGTTGTCATAAATTTCTTGTAGGTAACTTGTTTTAAATTAAACAGACATTATTTAATTTTCACACTTTTACTAATTTATATATTTTAGGATGCAGATAAAATTATAGAAGACGAGAAGAAAAAGTCCGGACCTCCTGCTAAGTCTATGGCACCTGAACTTTTGAATCAACTTCTTAATATTGCTATAAAGGAAGGTACAAACTAATAATACAAAAACTATTTTTGAGGGTTCTATGTTTATTATTAGAATTTTAATACAAATATGTACAATTATTTTTAGATATTGACATAAAGATTCGAGAAATCCTTGGATATACACTTGGTTGCTTGAACGATTTTAAAATGAAAAAATGTTATGAAGTAGAGCTTTTGGAAATTTTACGAAAAGTTATACTTTCTCACCCAAAATCTAGGGGAAAATTAAAGCAAGAAGAATGGATAGGTAGCTAATAATTACTCAAAAGTACCTTGTTTGTAAAGTTTTATTTACTGTTTTAGATATATTTAATTTAATAAAAAACTTAATTGAAGAAAACAATTACCAATTGGTAAATTCTAACACAAATCAGTCTGTGAAAAAATGGGGGCCTATTTCTAACTGTTTCATGCTTTTAATTAAATGGGGCCCTGTATGTGGATTATCTCCTAAAATTTTAAGAGAAAACTTTGATTTTATGACAAAATTTTGTCAAAAAGTTACTCAAAATTCGCCTCGATTTATGCAAGAAGACACTTTGGAAGTTGCTATTAATTTTTGTGAACACGTAAGTTATATTTTAAGAATTTTATTTTATTAAATATAAAAATTATTCTCTTTATAGACAGCCAAAGATAATCGCGTTTCGTGTTGTAAATTTGGTGAAGATATCATTGTAAGTTTGACTGGTTTATATGAACCAAATGAAACGCCCGTTAGAGTCATGGTAAGATCACAATTATTGCTTTTAAAAAATATCCTCGAACTCTTGATTTGTGTATTTAGGAACTTTTAATTGAGTTTTTCCTGTTGCAAACCGTAATACACCATCCCAATGGTGTGACGGAAGGAGAAAGTGCTGCATATGCCAACAATTGGGGTACTTGGAAAAAGGTATTAAAAACTATGGATGGGCTGTTGAAAAGAGAAATAAATTTATATTTTAAACGAACACGGAAGAATTGTTCCTTTTTTAAAAATACCTCATTCACAAAATTGTTCATTGAAGTCAGTCGACAGGTAAGAATGACTATTCATAAACGAAAATTAAATCTTATAAATATGTAATTTCTAGTTATTTTGTTTAAATTTGGATGTCGTCTCCGAGGTAGAGGAGTATAGTCAACCTTCACAAAAAAGGACGAAGCGCGAATTAGTCACAATTAAAAATTATATAGAGTATGTAAAGACAACTAAAAATTGGTTATGGTGAGTTCTTTTTGTTTTTAATCTGTTTTAAACTATACTGTTTAAGTAATATTGACTGATTTATTTACTGTGGTGGGATAAACCCATTAGTGTTACAGTTTTACAAATAAAAATACTTATAATAATGGCAAACAAAGAAACCCTGATTCAGCAACTCTCACATCACACCTGAAAAACATTTTAGTCATATAAATTTAGGTGTCAAATTATTCCACAAGAATAAAATTTAAAAAATGTATCTGGGAAAAGGACAAATTCATTTGTCTCTTCTTGGGATTCATACACAGTAAATAGTCTTAGTACCACTGTGTTATAATTTTAAGAGATACTTACATTCTGTCACATCATATATTCTCAAAATTCCCCATTTTTAGAATGACCAAGTCATTGCATATGCTATTGTTATCATTGAAACGGTTGATGAGGATGTCGAGGACAATGTTCCACAGTAGATGTGATAGTACCCTTTCCTGTGTACATCCCATCGCAATAGACATATCCCATATTTCATTTTTCTCTATAATTAGTATTGGATCTTGGTACCTAGAATCATGAATTATTCGACCATCTAAATTTAGATTTATTTAATAATATAAATGTACAATATTTGTTTAACAGAATCATTACACATTTGTGATATATTCACAATTTTCATACTCAGGTTTACGTCACTTAACATACATTGAAAACTTAACACACGCAGACGAACATATGGGTTAAGTCTGCATCAATGCATTTCTCATATATGCTGATGCTGTATAGAGGTATTTGAAGATTTGAGAATGAGCCTGAAACGGCGTCTGGACCGAACTAGTACATCAAATTGCTCTCTAGGAATCTCGACAGTGAATGTCGTCATGGTCTTGCGGTAAGGGCATTTGTGTACAGAACAAAGATGTCTGGGTTCGAATATCGGCGGCAACAGTCTTTTTTTCAAATCTCCAAGTATTTTTTTTACCTTTGGGGTTCAGGGATGGTATTAATAATTCGTAGTGGGATTTTTGAGATTTGTTTCCGAATTTTCAAAATATTCTAAATCTTATTTCAGATAATCCTGGCCTATCGGATTTCGATTTGTGATCTAGGATATATTAAATTAACAATTTTCATTTACACATTTATTGGATTGGATCGTTAATTTCTCATTATGATGATTTTCTTTAATAAAAAATAATAATTTTGTTTTAACACTTTTTTTAGGGTACATCTTGTGAATTCAATTATAAAAACTTATCCTAATTTAATTGATATTGATGATTACATTTATCTGTTACAAATTTTATCATCCATTCAAATAGAAAGTAACGAACACGATGTTATTGAATACCTTTATATTTGTTTATCAACAATGTTAAATCTGGAAAAAACTTTGGATATGAGTCAGAATCAAAACAAAATTAAAGAATTGTGGAAACTGATAGGCGATAACACTACCAAGTAAGATATTTAGAATATTATCATTGCAAAATAACTATTATCAAAAATATTAGTGTGGTCTTAAAGAATTTGAAAATCCATTATATTAATAATATTTTCATGTTGACCATTTTGAATACCCTTTAATTCAAATATTTTTAGAGCTTTTGGACTGAATCAACACAAACATGTGACAGAAAGACTATTAGAACAACTTATTTCGAGAGGCATAGTCAATTTTGAAGATGTTCTTCAAACATACCAATCCGGCTTAATATCATTATCCTTACAAACGATAAGAACGTTTAATTCAGGTTTAAGGTTTATGATTTTGAACGATTTACAAAAAAAGGAATGTGTCATGAAATGCATTTTACCACAAAATTGTATAGAATATAAATATTTGTGCAGCAAAGAAACGGCGAAATTTTTGGTTAAACTCACTTTCAAACTGTACAAATCTGAAGAAATCAGGGACGATATTGTAAAACAAAGTGATAAATATGATAAGTTAAACCGTATATATTTAAAAACTCTTTTGGCTGAAGAAGCGCTGACAATCAAGAAAACCGAAACAACAGAGGAGATATTTTTTAAACCTGATACAGACGTCGATTCTTGCGGTTTGCTTCTGAATGTTGTTGAAGATTTTGTAAACAGTGGTGAAGAAACTGAAGAACTACTGCTCTCCAAAGTAACTCTTTTGGCAAATATTTGCAGCTGGTTAAGCGAATACAATGTACAGCGCGAAGCAGATCTCAAACAATCACAGTTTATCATACTATTAGAAAGTATTATCAACAAGGATATTATCAAAAATTTTCCATTGGCTAAGTCAGAAAATGAGAGGGACCTTAGACGATTGGCTGAATGTCTTGATATCATAAACGTTCTATTTTCTTTGAACGTCTCAAAATGGGTAATGGATAAGCTTAAAGAAAGTATTCCTCTTGATTTTTTGCGTAAACTTTCTACATTTCTAAATGCACTTCAAGAAAAAGGTAAGTTCTAAAAAAATGCATTTTTTATAAATTAGCGTTCATAAAGTTTAATTCTAAAGAAGAATAGGCTGGTTCATCTTTAGTTTCTAAAAACATTTTGTTATATTATTTGCTACTTCCAAACACATAAAAGTTTCCAGAAATTTAACACGAAAAAAAATAGCGACCTGCCAGAATTAACTGGTATCAAATACTGTCCTTTGTACTGCTGTTTTGGGTTTCAATATAATTAGTGTGTAATTCACAACCACATACTTCTCTGCTTGGAAGTTAGTTAACTAATGTTGTCCTGCCTTTCACGCGTTGTATAAAATCATGATTGTTTTTTTTATGCAGTCCCAACTTCTTTATAGACACTAAATCCTGATAAATAAAGGTGCTTACCCACTATGGGTGTCAAAATGTCAATTGTACCTGTTATATCAAAGTAAATATACTTTGGTCATATTTACAAATATTTGAAAAGATGTCTGTTCCTGTATCTTAAAGTATCATCTATTTAATTTATATGAAGACTGTTTAAGTTTGTTATTTTTATGGCGTCATCTCCTATATAGTCATTACAGTTTTGCATTTTTGTCACTATATATTTTACAAATAAAAATTTAAAAAGCTATTATTTAAGAGCAAATGCGTTATTTTCTAAATTTTTTGTTTATTCTTTTAAATACAATTCTTTGAAAGAAGTTTTTCAAAGTATTTTTGTAATTTAGATGACTTAAGGTCTGTATGTATTCAGGTAATATATTAAATTAAAGCTAATTGAATTATGTTCTGATTTTGATAACCTGTATCTTGGACCTCTAACGTAAGTACCAATTCGTGTATTATGTGAATGGCCATCACCTTGCATTAGTAGTAGACATAAAGTTTATGTATTTCAATCAAATTTGCAAATATAAATAATGAAGGTAACATCGGCAAAAAACACAGTTATGTGGATTCATCTACTGAGCAAAATCATTTATATTACAAATAAAAGCGGTCCCAAAACCGATCCCTGTGGGAATCTTATATTAATTGACTCTGGATTTGAGAGGTTGCCTTTATAAAAAACTGACCGAATACGTTCTTTTTTAATCAATATTTATTTTGTAGGTAAAAAATACCTCTCATTTTACAATCTAAAAGTGCCTGTTACCCAAGCTTTATCGAATTTTGCTTGCATTTGTGGGCGTGCATTAAACAAAAACCAAGGATATTTGTTAGAAATTTTATCAAAACCAAGTTACAATTATAATATGGACGATGATTATATTTTGGTGAGTATTACCGAGAAAAATGCCGTTTTAATTTTGTCATTTCTTTTAAAACTTTTAAAGCAGGTGTTAAAAAGTAAAAACTCAAAATTAAGAAAAATAAATATTTCTATTTTTGTGAATAATATATGATTTTTAATACCAGCTTTAATTATTTTGTTTAATGGTCTCCAAATTAATAAAAAAAACTATCTGCCCAGTGAGCAATACATAATTAAGTTTTCGTCTGTTTCGAGAAGTTATTTCAAAGATTTAAGAAATTAAGGATTTTTTTTACAAAATCGTGTATACGAAAAACTTTTTAACTGGCCACTATGTCGCGCGGTATATCATTTACAAAATACGATTGTGTTTTCATAAAAAAATCTATAATATTTTAAACATAGCTTTCAGGAAAACTAAGATTATTTTGAAGTGTAATATATTTCATTATTTTCCTGTCAGTCATACGGGTGGTAAGTTTTGAAGGAAATTCGTAGGTAAATCAATGTCGTTTTTAAAAACTTTTCACTTCATGAACGGTTTCAATATTATAATTAATACCGGAAAGTATATTTTTGCCTAAAGCTAGGTACATTTAAAATTAAAGTAACGTGTGCATATGACAAATTTGTATTGGCGAATGCCCACCTTAAATGAAATTAAAAACCAAATTATTTTTTAGTGCACAGTTTTCCTAAAAACTCTCAAACTCTCAGAACCATCTGTTTTACCTGATCCAATTCTATATAACATTTTATCCTGTATCAAAAGCTTAGCAGAACAACGCTACCAGGATAAAGCTGAAGATATTTTGGATATTTTAAGCGGTAAATTATTTAATATTCACGTTGGTTGCTTCTTAATAAAATCAGTTGTATGGATATTTAACAGTTTCATATTTTTTCAGGAATGTACCCTCATATTGCTGCATCTAAAAATAATGAAAACAAATCATTTTCTGTATGCCTTTTAAAACCATTCTATAACGGTGTTCAAGACAGTGGTCCCGAAACTTCCATACGATTGCTGGAATGTTTCCAAGTTCTCTGCGAGGTAAATAGATTTTCTTATTGGTTTTATTATTTTTAATTTTGATTTGTTTTTTTATAGTTGGATCCTAAAAACTCTTTTTCTCGTTGGTCTGATAGAGAAGTTATTAAGTGTGTACCAGAATTTTTGAATAGCGACTACCATGAAGTTAGACTTAAAGCCATAGACGTTTTAGTTACTTATTATAAGGCTAACTCGAATTGTAACATAATTACAGATATCCATAGACAAGAAGAAATATTTGACAAAATATACAATATGGTATTTAAAACTTTTCATTTTATTTAAACACAAGACATATAATTAGCTAATTATTTTTTTTAGAGTCTGGCAGTGTTCGAGGTTTCAGGAGAAATTACTCAACAAAGAAGAACCGATGAAGTAATGTGTAGAGCAGCAAGTGTTTTACTTACATTTGTTAACATTATTACTAGCTCTGATAATTGGATAAAAGATAGTTTATATAATTTGCTTAAAATATCCTGTCTTAGGGGTATTGGTAAGTAACTACATATAGTGTGAACCAATCATTTTCCCTTGGACCATAGTAGCTAAACTAAAACTCGCTGTACTAATTGACGGTAGAATTTTCAGGAGACTAAAACTCTTTGTTTATGTTTTTAGAACAAATCGATAGGGCACTTAACATTATCAACAAACGAAAGTATGGGGAAGAAGATTTCAATATATTGGAAAAATACGTTCTTTATTTAGTTAAAAAATGGCTCGACGAGGGGCACAGTTTTAATGATTTTCCATTTAAGCTCTTTAAGTGCGAAACGAAGTTCGACTTTTATCGGACATATTTTGAAGACTGCGCATATTTTTTAATTATGAGAGAACAAGACGATTTTAAAAAACTTTGCGAAAAACTTGAACTGACGGAAGAACAAGTTATTGAGGTAATTTATTAAAGCATTTTTAAATACGTTTAAAGAACGTTTGTGAATTAGGCGGAGAGAATGCCCAATACTATAGATGTTAAACGTTAATTAAGAATCAGTGGTGTACAAAATTGAAGATATTTTTAAGAAAGAATTCTAATAGTGTCGATTCACAAGATCTCGGTGGCCAATTAACTTTGCTTTTGAGAGATTATGTGCCCGGGAAACTTCTCATGTAGTAGAGTCATTGTGGCGTCATCTTGTTGAAACCACATGTCATCTATGTCATAATCATCTAATATTGCTCATCGTTTTCAAAGAAAAATGGTCCAATGATTCCTCCAGCACAAAATGCACATCACACAATGACTTTTTGTGGATGGTGTTTCTACAATAATTAAAAGATGGGGAAGAATTAATGTATTATAAATGATATTTTTTGAAAAAAAAAAAATGAAAAATTATTGTACAAAGTTCTTCAGGTACTCATTTTACATGTAGTTTTTGATAAAATAAAAATAAATTATGGTCACGATTAAAAAACAAGCTCCAAAGTGGATAAAAACAAAAAATAACAATAGCAACAATGAATTATTCCTTGATTATTGATATAATTTGTTTAAATTTAAAAAAGATTAAAAAACTGATTGAACCATTCATTTGTAATGGAAAAAATATAAGAGAAACTTTTATTTTTTGACCAAAATTCTTATTTTTGTTTATAATATTGCTACAAACATTTAAGTCGAATGATTTAGATTTAGACAAATAATTTTTTTTATGTTTTTAAATTGCAGATTTTTGATATCATGGATGGAAGATAGAAATTTACTAGGTCAATCTTCCTCTTTTTGCCAAAGTCATTTGATCTTCATTGTCCGACCCTCGATTAAAATTGTTTTTCTTGCTCATCTTTTTCAATCATTTTCTCACAGTTATTAAAGACCTCTGGTAATTGGTTTTCTGGGTTGAAGGACTTGGCTGCTTGATTTCAATTGTGTCACTACAATCCCGAAATTTTGTCAAAGTTCAAACAATTGTCTGAGCCTTAACACTGTACCACAGTTTATAGCTAAAGAATCAGTTCGGTCATTCTGCGTCGGCACTTTTGATCTCAATGTTCCAGTTTATACATTGCGCAACTCGGATTTGTATCCCTGGCGCATAGAGAATCAAATTATAATAGCCCAAGAGCCCACTGCAAATTTTTACCCTCATCTGATACCGATATGAAATATACCCCAAAAGCATGTAAAAACATTGTACTTTACCAAATCCCAATCCTGAGCAAAGCGATTAAAAAAATCACATAAGGCATGACCACTAATTTTATTTGCCCTTAAAGTTTTCCAGAAAATAATGTTAAAAGGAAACATTTTCTTCCTCTTAACATCGCACAAAAACATCTAGCCACGATTAGTAGGTAAAAATCATTAAAAATATGAATCAATTTTTGCTGATTTAAAGTTTATTTGTATGCCTATTGTTGTGATTCATTTTTACAGATTGCCATATAAACGACATAAAAAACTACTATGATTATGGTTTAAAAGAATTGTCTAAAAGAGTTTATAATTTTTATTGACAATGGGGTCTATTCTGTAAAAATTCCTTTATATTTAACGGCCTTTAAAAATATTTTCTTCTTTAATTCGGTCACTATTTAAACGGATCTTTAAAATACATTAGAGGACTATCTTAAAGAAATCTGTTTAAATAATGATAGAAGTAAATTAACGAATACGAACATATTTTTATAGGCCGCCAATATTTTTAAAGGCCGTTAAATATAAAGGAATTGTTACAGAATAGACCCCTATCTCTGTAAACGGTTTATACAATGCCACCCTTCTTCCTTTCACACATACACATTGTTTAAAAGGTAGGTAAACATATTGTTACGCTGGTTTTTGGTATCACAATTTATTTGAACTCAACTTTTACAATAATAACTCAATTCAACTGACACAATAACTTGAACTGATAACATTAACGTTTAACGTCTATCATAAAACTAACTCTCTGACGTCAGGTCGTCGCCTTATATAGCTTGCCTCCCCTTCTGGAACCTTCTCGAACAATCTAGACAAGGAATGACATTTCGAGACTTTTCGGAAATATTCTATCTTCTTCATTTACTCGTACCTTATGATGACCGCAGCACGCTACAGGGTGCTGCGTAACAATATTAATAATTTAGGTTTAAAAGCTAGGTTCACAATGAATTAGGATTGTAATTTTCAGGGAAAATACAATTGTCTCTGTCATGTCTTGTGATTTTTTGAACATAACATATTTTTTTTTACCACTTTGCTCAGGATAGGGATTGGCACAGGTGTAATTTGGTAAAGTACAATATTGTTACATGTCTTTGGAGCATATTTCATTTCGATATAAGCAATACAATATTATGACAACCGCCTATATTCAAACACCAGTCTTCTGCGCATCCTAAATTTGTATCCCTGGAGTGGATTTTATTTTGGAACATTCAATTGGTCCAAGTGAGCTAACTGATTCTTTAGCTATAAACTGTGACTGTACATAACTGGGTACATCACTTCTGTTAAATTCACAACTGGTTTCGCAGCAGCACAAGATTGTTTTAAACGATTCTTCAGGGATGACTGACGCTTCTGTAAAGCGAGACATTTGTATTTTTGAAGTATTTGCAATAACTTCTTTCCAACCCCACTTGGTTGCAGTTATTTTGTTTCCAAGCCACGTTTGAAGCTGAAAATATGTTCTGTAGGAGTGTTGCGCAGCTGCTCCCAACAGTTTGGTAACTTTTCTAATTTAAAAGTAAACTTTGTTGTTAAATACTTTGAATTGTTAAAATTTCAAATCAACAGAGATAATTCCTGATTTGTGCATTTGTAAATAGATGTAATTAATTTACAGCTATTTTGAGCAATGATGGTTGGCTCTGTATTATTCTGAAAAAAAGGTTTTACCAACTCTTTCAACTCGGGAGTTTTAATCGGCGAATTAAATGTCGTTTTTCCTTTGCCTGTAAACACGGATGTTGTATCACAGCCAGTAAAATAATGTAGAAAACCAACAATAATAATACTCTCCCACAATAGAAGGATACTCTTCATATTTAAAACTATTTGACAAATACATTGAGTCACTTATATTACCTGCATCTGGTTTTGGGAAATAAATTTTGCATTAATTGATTAAGGGCCAATATTTTCATCTCTCATTATAGTTACATGTAGAGTTACTTGGCAGATCAACCAACTACAGCCTATAGTCCAATCAGCAAATAGTTACTTTCAACTTTACTCAGAGGTAAAAAGTCTGACTTGCGTGGAAGAGCGCTGTTTACTTGCTGGCTCAATGTTTGAGCTTGCCAGTAAGTGCGAACGTCGCCTCTTGTCTTTCAGTATCTATGTAATTTCGTGTAATAACTTATATGTATTGAAAGCAATAATGTAATTATTATTAATGGAACCAAAAGATCAATGTCTTGGCCAACGACATTTTTTAATATTCGATGATTCCTGTTACTGCAGTTATAATCTTATTTTTTCGATGATTTCTATTGCTGCATTAATAATAAATCGGCATCTTCTTCTGGTTATTTAATTGTGTATCCTTTAATTTTAAATGCTCTTTCCAACTTTTATTAATTCATTTTTATTTTTATCATTTGACAAAAACTTATCTTGTAAAATGTTATTTTTGTGTGGGGTTCAAAATTAAAAAAAAAAAAAACGAACAGTCGAAGAATTTTTTCGCCTTGAGCGTTCTGCTGTTTTTGTTGAAGATGCGGTGAGTTTTTATTATCACTTTTGTTGCACAAGTTTTAGCCCTTTTAGATCATTGATTTGAATGCGGTTGTCACCAATGTTATTTAAAACTATAGGAGATAGTGACAAAGTAGATAAAAAAAAGTTTTTTAATGTAATAATAATTTTTTTTTAAGAACTTTGCCACTTGCGCAGAAATGAAATAGACATTTTTTTATATAATTTTTTTTTTTTCGATATGTCTAGGAAATCTGTAGAATAGAGATTCCATAAAAAATTTACAAAAATGTGTATATTTAACGAAATGTAATATATATTGCCTACATTTAGGAGTTTTTTGAATATGGCAACCTTGAACTGCTAAATAGTTAAAAAATTATAACATTATTGCATCATGAAGGATTTATTATTTGTTATCTTCGTACTTTAGGAGGTTATTCGCGGTTGCCAAACTTCAATATTCACAGATTCAAACTTGACATGTCTTCTTCAAGCTATCCTTTGCTTTTACATCTGCAGTTACTAATAACGTATGTCTTGATGAAACAGAAAATGAATAGTTAGGATGCACATTCTTTTGGTAGATCACGAAGTTGTCAGTGACTCATTCATCCTCTTAAATGTTTATATGATTAATGTATACAAAAAAGGTTCTGGTCAAAAAATAAAATACAATTACTTTTATATTTTTTCACCTACAATTGAATAGTGCAATCAGTTTTTTTTTTTTTTTATTTAAACAAATATCGATAATTGAGGAATAATTCATTGTTGCTATTCATTTTTTGTTTTTATGCATTTTTGAGAAGGTTTTTTAATCGTGGTCCTATTTTTTTTTATTTTATCAAAAACATTTTAAAACGAAAAAAATGAGTACCTAAAGGACTTTGTACGATAATTTCTCACCGTATAATTTATTTTTTAAAAAAAGTGTTTTGGACCGAAAAAAATTAATATCTCGAAATATTTTAGATTTTTTTTATCTAAAAAAAAATTGTGCTTATTTAAGAAATATAAGATACCAGATTTTATCAAAATTAAATTATTTTTAGATAAATTAAAAAGAAAAGACGTAAAACGTTTTATAGTTCAGTGATTTTTATCGAAATTTTGAGGTTGTTAAAAAGTGACCTCTACAAAAACTGAAGATTTTTGCTTGTTTTACAACTTTTGCATTATACATTTTTAACGTCAAATTTCGCCAGAAATCGCGATAATATCATTTTTCACCACTTTTCAATTCTCTAAAACCTTACTTAAACCTCCCAGGTTGCATTTTTTTTAAATTATAAACCCTCTACCATTTACACTTATCAAATGCTTTTTAACAATTTTTTTTCTCAAAGTTTAATTTGATTGGACTAATAGTCACATTTTGTAATAGCTTTTAGGGCCGATCTTTTCACCTCTGAGTAAAGTTACATGTAGGTTTACTTGACAGATTAACGAACAACAGCCCTATAGTTTAATCAGCAAGTAGTTTACTTTTTTCAGAGGTGAAAAGATTGGCCCTTAGAGTGGTAATAAATAATAATATAACGTTAATATAAAATTATAAGAAAAAATATAAATTTAGATTATAATTTTATATGTACATTTTAGAAAACATCAGCAAAAATTCTTACAAGTGCCATATGCAGTGACATCGATAACTTTAATTCGGATATTATAAATGAAAATAAAATTCTATCCAATTACTTGCAAATAGTTGGAACGGTTCGGCTTAGAGAAATGTTGAAAGACAATTTGGAACAGGTCGTGATCGGGATATTAGAATTTTTGACGGACGAAAAATACATACAATCCCAATTAGGCGAATCTGTCATATTTATTAATAAATATTTAGAAGCTAGCCAGGTCCGTCAGTGTTTCCAGTTCATTGAGGTAAGATTTTATATTAAAATATTCTAAAAGGAATAGATAACTCCAAGGTCTTAACCACAAATATATTTTTTTATTTTCAATGGCAACTAGTTTCGGTCAACTTGGCCATCTTCAGGCTTTTAAGAAAAGTACAAATTATATAAAAACAAAATTAAAGTTATTATAACAAATAATAATAATATCTTCATTGCCCAGTTTGACTCATTTACAGGACAATACAAATAAATCACAATAATTTATAAAGAAATAATAAATAGATAATTAAAATAAAATATTTAATAAAAACAATACCAAAAATAGTTATCCTAATAAAATGACAAATAATTAAAAAGAAGGAAACTTTTACATACAAAATATCTACCACCTACCTAAGATTACAATCCTAATCTAGCTATTCTCATCAATAGAAAAAAAAAAAAAGAATGTCGCAGTAGTTGGAAATTTTATTAAAATTCTTGCACATTACGTAATACGTATATTAATTCTAGCTCTGATTGTTCTGAAAGAAGATACCAGACATCTACTATTAAAAGAAGGTACATCAAGATTGATTTGGTCGAACAATTCTATATTGTTTATTCTATTGTGCAATAATTTATGTAGAAAAACAATAGATACATATTTGTTTTTTCAAATATAAACTAGAAAATTATAGTCTGTCACAAAACTATATTTTCATTAATCCATTGTTTTGTATGTTTCTGTTCTCTTCTTTTAATAAATCGTGTCCTCGTTCTTCATTTGGTTGACTTTTTTTTGCAAGATAATCTGCAAAGATGTCGGCTTTTTATTTGTTTGATCTTGCCCAGTTTCCGTTCTCTTCTTTTATTGGTGGCATGTGGACGTTTCGTTTCCTAGTCGCTTTTCACAGAGAGTAATCAGTATTTTTGTCGTTCTTTAATTTTCTGAGATGTCCATTCATTTAAAAAAAAATTGTTGAACTTATTCGATTAAATATTTCTATGCATCATAATATGAAAACCATATTTTAAAATGCACATATGAGATATATGGAACTAACTTTTAATGCTTCTAAATTTATGAAATGTCTACAGTTTCGAAAAGTAAAACCATATATTTTCATTGCTTTAGAGGCTTTTAGTAGAAATATAATTTTTAAAAGTTAACATTGAATCAAAGATAACACCGAAATCTTTTATAATGTCACATCTGTCTAAATCGGACGCGTGAACATAATTCATGTGTAGCTTACAACTTTACATTTATTTGCATTTAAGTTATATTTATTATTATCGCACTAATGTAAGTTGATCTTATAATATATTACAATATATTACAATCACTTAAATTATTGATTGAAGCAAACATTTTTAAATCATAAGCTAAACAAGGTTGTCTACATTTAATAGTCTCACTTATAAAAATAGAATTTGATTAAACTTACAACCTAGTAATAATGTTGTTTTGGTACTTATTTTCCGTTCTAAATCAGCACAAAATAATTAAATCATAATACACGACAAAATAACCTACTTTCTTCCAAACTGAATAACATTAACAAGCAATATAAACACATTATAACAAGTCGTTGAGAATAAATTAATATGATTTTCTATTTATCATTAAAATAATTGAAGTTATGCATATGCAACTAACAATACAAGAAAGTAAAATTGGTTGCCTAGATGTCAGTCATTTTTTACCAAAACACAATTTTATAAATAATTAGACAAAATTGGAAAAAATATTGTATGTAACACGTTACGAAATTCTGTTTTATGTAACTCGATCATGTTGCGGGACCTTGCAAAAAATGTCACTCTTTATGTCAAAATTAGAAAATATGTATTTACTTATTTTATGTACTTATGTCATTACAATATTATAATTTTCATTATTGTTAAGGACTTTTGTTTTTATTATTATAATTTTTTTATGTAAAATGCGATTTCTCTTAAACGACAAAAATTGTTTCTACGTTTGTCTATAAAATTAAATATTTTACTTAACTGTCAAATTTATACTCTACCCTCATTGTAAATTGTACTTTTCTTACCGACCGGTTGATAGTAAATTTGACCGAAACTAGTCGCCTTTGAAAATAAAAAATGTATTTTTAATTTTTTCCTCATTATGTTTATATTATTTTTTAGTCAATGTTTCGGCATTTTATTTGTTACCTTCTTCAGATTCCTTAATAAGTTGGATCTGAAATTGAGTTTACCATCTGTTTTTGACATCACAATTACTCCAAAATAAATATGTTTAAATAGTTTTCTAATCAGTCTTGTATATTTTATTTTATAAGAACACTATATAATTTAATCGAAAAATCAAGATGTGGTTGGGTCTAGATTAGTTTTTATATGCCTCATTGAATAATTTTTAAGGTGTTTTGTAGAAATTAAAAATATTGTGATTCAATTTACAAACACTTTCATAGGTTTAAATAATATTAGGTACAACAAATATTAGAATACAATAATATTTTACATTAGTTGATTTTTTTTTTTCATACAACAAATAAGATAAATAACAAGATGAACTTTTTTATTAGATGGTATCTACTTTCCTACTTACAGTTTTAAAAATAGTACAAAATAAATAGTGAAAAAAATTACAAATAAATAAAATCAATTTAAAATAAAAAAAATATTGCTTTTATCTGGGATTGATAAAATTGAACGCTTTACACCCTGGACCATGAAGTCTTATGTTAAATGAATTATCTAATCAAATGTGTGTATTAACTAGAAAAAAAAAACAACATAAAAATACGTAGTTACTTTTAAATTATTTTAATTATTGATCAAAATAAATATTTAGAATCTAGGTACAATAATCAATGTTAACAATTAAAGTCATCAAATAGATTTTACTTTTAATATGGACAAAATAGAAATGATGCGGCTGATAGCTGATGCGAAAAGTGGATTCATATTAACACACGGGCGGAAAGTAGATTCTTGTCCACGCGCGTGTGATATAGAGCACTTCCCATAAGAAAAAATAGTGCTATATGTGTCGCTTTCATAAATGGTTATATAGGAGACAATGTTATTTTTGTTTTTTTTTTATTTTAAATTTTTTGGAACTAAAATGCCTAAATGAAAAATATCCTGTATATCAAATGGGGTAAATGTAAAGGTACCTTTCAAGTAATGCCAATATAAACAAAAAATTTACCACTACTTCGATTTTTATGATAAAATTGTTTTCATTATGTTTTAGAACATGCTTTACGATGGCCAACCTCTAGAATTGCTACTGACAGACATCCATTTGCCGAAATTAGAAAAGATTTTATTTCAACTGAAACAAAATTTTTACAAAAACATTGTTGTCAAAGATCAATTGAAATATTTCCACAGATACACGTTTTTCATTAATTTTATATCGGAATACTTGAACTCAAATAGATTTTGGAGACATTTTTTCATTCGGGACGTTGTTCATACTTTACTAAACGTGATTGAAATTAATGAAAATTGTACAAGCGTGATTTCAGCTGCATGTACATTTTTGGCTTTATTTTTGGAAAAAATATTACCGAATTTATCAGAAACTTTCAAACATTTTCTACATGATACTGTGAATTATTTGAAGAAATTCTATTTCACAAGGAAAACTATATCTTCGAAATGTAGAGACATCTTAAAATTTTTAATAATAACGAATAAACATACATTCGAGGAGGAGATTAAAAAACTAGACACCTTCCCTGACGTTGCCGATTTCGGTGATATAATATTTGTTCAAAAAGAAGTCAGATATGGCAGTAAAGAACCCAAACTTGAAGACGAAATCGTGCAGTTTTTGAATAATCAAGATATGGTTACCAAAGAGGATAGCTTGATTAACTTAAGGAAGCTTTTGGCTAGTCAGAAAGATACATTGTTAGATATGTATGATAAACTTCAAGAAATTAGAGGATTCTCTGAAGATAGTGAGAAGAGTGTGTTACATAGACTAGTTTGTGTGTTATCTCAGTTAAGTTACTCATCAAATCAAAAGGTAAGAATGAAGTATGTTTCAATTGGGTAATTTATGTGTCTTCCCTTTCTAATTTCAATAATTTGAAAAATTAATTGTCTATGTAATTTACTTGATTTTCTTGCCCTTCATTTATATTACTTTGTGCAATCCATGTTTACTTTTCATTGACATATCTACGCGTTGAATAATTCAATAGTTAACTGGGCCACTCTAGAACTGCAAAACTTATCAGCATTAGCTTTCTACCATATTTTAACATATTAATGTTGACTAAATAGTCTATCAGAATAGCACCTTTTTTGCATAGCTTTTATCGCGGGCTTTGAGTGCGGCGACCGAATCAAGAAATTCCGTAACGACCGTAACGAAAAAAACCTAACACCCCCCACTCCGACCGGCACAGCGGTGCGGCGTTAAACAATATTAACTTCTCATTTATTCATTAAAAGAAAATCGAAAAAGAAATTCCGTAACGAAAATACCGTCACAGCGGTGCGGCGTTGAAAACCGTGCATCGTCTAACGTCGTTTCAGTTCGGCAGACTTCGGCACGGTGTTTGTGTGCGTGCGACTAGACGTATGCGTATTGTTTTCTTATCGGTCACCACGCTCAAAAAGTGTAACTTGAATTAATATCAAAGAAAAACTTGAATTAATATCAAAGAAAAAAAATTACTGCATAAATAAAATAAATAAATAATTATAATTGCATAAGTTGATAAAAAATGCTATGCAATAGCTTTACCGCGGCAGTCCCCGAGTGCCACACGTATTTTTTTTACGTAGATTACGAATATGATGATCCTGAAATAGAAATTGATAGCTTTATTATGGGTTGGGTCAAAATACACTTAGTTATTTTTTTTTTTAGAAAATGTGCAAAAAGATTTTAAATAAAGTTTTTTACTTTAAGATTACATACAAAAAAGGTCCAGTTACATTTTAAGCTAAAACTAAAGACAATCTTATGTCGCTTCCAAGGGTTCAAACATATCATTAAAGGACGTCCAGCCATCTCAGCTTCATATAACTCATTTTTCTGAAACTCAGGTCCAAGATGCTTTAAAAAACATTAAACCTAAACGTACCACAGGACCGGATCATATTCCTGCGTTCATTTTAAAAGATTGTTCAGCATTATTAGCTCGCCCTCTGACTATTTTATTAAATAGTTGCCTTAAATCCAATACAATTCCTTCGATGTGGAAATGTTCTAAAGTCTGTCCAATTTTTAAAAAAGGTGAACGTACTGATATCAAAAATTATAGGCTGATTTCTATCATTTGCAAAATTCTAGAAATATTACTGAAACGTAGTATTTATCAATATGTTTGTAACGCAATCTTAGCTCAGCAACATGGTTTTGTTAAAGGGCGTTCCACAGTAACAAATCTTTCTGTGATCACACAGCAAATACCTGAAAATATTAATAATCGGGTCCAAACTGACGTCATCTATACGGATATGACAAAAGCATTTGATAGACTTGATCATATTATGATACAGAAACTCTGCATATTTGGTCTTTCTAATAGTTTGATCACACTTTTTCAATCATCTCTCTCTCTCAAAGAACACAATATGTTCAATTAAATGGATTCAAGTCTAACAAATATTGCACCACCTCTGGTATACAGCAAGGTTCAAATTTGGGTCAGCTGTTATTTAATATTTTTATCAACGACATTTGTGACACTATAAATGTTGATTATTTGATGTATGCTGATGACTTAAAAATATATTCAGCTATTGAAAATATTTCTGACTGTGAACAATTTGAACAAAGTTGTTGAATGGTGCAACAAAAATGGCCTTACACTGAATCCCGTCAAATGTAACGTAATGGCATACACATTAAAAGCGCATCCAATTATATTCGATTATGTCCTTAATGGACGTTTGCTTTCTAGACCCAACAATTTTATGGATTTAGGGATTACATTTGACCCAGTATTGTCGTTTAAATACCACATAGATAACATTTCAACAGCAGCGAATCGTATGTATGGATTCATAGTACGAGTGGGCCGTAACTTTAAAAACACAGATACTGTTAAATCATTGTATTTCTCATTTGTTCGATCTAAACTCGAATATGTCTCGTTTATTTGGGATCCTTATTATCAAATACACATTGTCGGATAGAGTCCACACAAAGGCGTTTCCTTAAATACTTAAGTTTTCGGGCAGACCAAATTTATCCACCGATTGGTATTACTCAAAATGCTTTACTGACTAGACACAGATTGACAAGTCTCGATGTAAGACGGAAGTACTTCTCCATAATTACCCTCTACACAGTTGTTAATTTTAAAATAAATTGTGAAGCTCTTTTACATATGCTTAATTTTAGAATCCCCTGCGCAACCTCTCGAAACACCGAATCATTTTACATAGCAACTCCTCGGACAAACGTTCTGAAGTTTTCACCTGTATATAACATGTGTAATAATAATATTAGTGAACAGTTGGATATATTTAACCGCAGTGTTAAAAACATAAAAACACATTGTTTAAAATAATTTAGCATTTATTTACTGTAATTTTAGTTTAATTATCTATATGCTTTTTGTTAAACATGTTTTCTTCCAAATGTACTCCTGTTCTGTAATTGAGTTTAACCTGTTGAACAATGTATAAATAAATAAATAACGGCTCTACGGAGAATCAAAATATGTGATATTTTCGGTATTTCAAGAAATTACTGCTTATCACGAACTTTATTACAGAAATCCAAAAAACTTTTATTTTTTTCAGATAGATCTTTTCTTTCAGAGTCCATCAATATGGGGTTCGGGTGGTCTCTGATTTACCTTATCATAAGAAAACGGAATATTTACAGTTGTCTGTAACCCTGTACTATCATAATGTACCAATTTTAATTGTTTTGTCTTGGTTTCACTTTTCGACATTATAAATGTCATATTGACATCTAGATATACTGAAAGTCAATAAATTGCATCCCTATAGAGTTCAATTACACCAAGAATTGATTGAAGATGACCCAGATAGGTAGATGCATTTTTGTCAGGAAATTATGGATGCCATTAATGGAAATAATATATTGATGAACAAAATTATACAGTGTGTCCCAATGAAAATTAGCCCTTTTCCAGAGCTTATAACTTTTAACACCTAATCGTAGAAACGTGCGGTTTTTGCTGATATGTGTTATTTTGCTATAAGTTTTGCTTCGGTGACACAGACATTTTGTATTACCTATACAGGGTGTTTTTTAAAAATCTTTTAAATTCACCATAACTAAATTTTATCAAATGAAACACCATGTATATGTTTAGGTCATCTGAAAGATACACTCTTCTACTTTTCAAAAATGTATAATTTGTACATGGTATTTTACAAAATAAATTTGATAAAATTTGGTTACGGTGAATTTACAAGAGGAGATTTTTAAAAAACACCCTGTAGTAATACATAATTTCTGTGTCACTAAACCAAAACTTATGGCAAAATAACACATATCAGCAAAACCACACGTTTCTACGATTAGGCGCTTAAAAGTTATAAGCTCTGGAAACCGTCTACTTTTCATTGGGACACCCTATATTTTTTTTCAACGAACCAAAATTTTGTCTTAGTGGATTTGTAAATAAACATAATTGCCGGTATTGGTCTGATCATGGTCTTCACTGGATGGAAGAAGGTCACACCCAATATCCACAATAGTTAAATATTTGGGATAATATAGTTAGAGGAAGAATTATTGGACCATTCTTCATGAGAGGAATTCTGAATGGTGATCGTTATTTGCAACTTCTTCAAGAGCAGAGTGTTCCAGAGTTAGTTCGTTTATTTCCAAATCATCAAATCAATCCAATTTAGTTCCACCAAGATGGTGCTCCTTCCTCCTCATTTCGATGCTAGGGTAAGGCAGTACCTCAACACAATATTTCCTCAGAGATAGATGTGTCGAAGAGGACGTCATATCTTGATAAATATGACAGATAATGTAAATTCCCAAGCTTCATTAAATAGTGCATAAAATATACAAAAAAAAATAAACGTTATTCGGGTTAATTTTCAATACAATCCATAATTGAGCCACAAATCGGATGTTTCAAATTTTGTCCAACCCTGTATAGAGCGCATTTAACACGCAGAATCGGAATCTACAATAAAAAAATCGTCAACACTCTACAACTTAAAAACAAAGTTCTAATGGTGAGGATAGATGTGGCATACCCTCAGAAGTTCCACAGGGTTCCCATTTATGGCTATTATTATTCTTACTATACAGAATGTCCCATAAATATGCCGACAAACTTTTAGGAGTGATAGGAGACATCATAACGTGTTTTTTTTAAACGTATGCCCGAGATATAGGGTTTAAAAGTTAAAAAAATTAATCTATTTTTAATCAATATCTTGAAAACGTTTTGACCGATTTCAATGAAATTTTTGTTGAGATCTTGCTGAGGTATCTTGTGGACCTATTCGCGTTTATCCAAAATTTCCATAGGGGTGCCCATGGGGCAAGTAAATTTAGATATTTATTGATTATTATGAAGATATATAGTCGTCAAAATGTTTTATTTTCCATTCCATTTTACAGAACTAATTTGGCTTATTTCTTCTATAATATGAAAAATTCATTAAATTTGAATATTCAGAGGGCGTCTTAAAGTTGCAAGAAATACACTCATATTTTGAATAATTTCATCATTCGTAATAATTTTTATTTTTAATATTTTATTTTAAAAATTATCTATTGCATTACCCAATACTTATCATTTGACTGACTTAAGTGTTGATGTTTGTTTTTAAAATTGCAAATTAATGTATGTTATCGTTTAAATGGGGATTTCCCATATTATGTTGTTCTATAATAATAAAAATAACTTTGTTAATACGAGTTTTTTCGATATGATTTTTTTTGTGAATCTCAATTTCTTTATAACGTTTTAAACTTCAGTACTGTTGAAGTAAAAAAGCAAAAAAAATTATCCTACTCATAATAAACAAATGTTTACACTCAATCCAATAATAAATTTGATGCAGCCAATGATTACCTTCAATTTATATACTACACATTTTTTTAATTAATTATTGAGCGTTTTTTTTTCTTGAAATACCGAAAATTACACAAAGTTTTGCCCTCCATAGTGCCGTTACCGTAAGTTTTAGATGAAAATGTTACGATACCTTTTTTATATGTAATATTAAGCTGAAGAACTGTTTTGGATAAAATGTACATTTCCTAAAAAAAAATAATACAGTTTATAAACCATAATAAAGCTATCAATTTCGATTTCCGAATCATCATATTCGCAATCTATGCAAATATGATACCCCATTCGACTTTACTGCAGAAGTGAGATCATTTTTGTTTTTCCAATAACAGTATAGAATTGCAATAGTTTTGTTTATAGATTTCTCCTTGACTTATGTATTGAACTGTAAATTCCTCCTATACTTTTTATATATTAAAGTAGTATTCGCTTTTTATTCAATTTATTTTGGGTTTGCCATTGATTTTTCAAAAGCCAAATGAACTGATGATAATGCATTGCTTGCGTAAACGGTTTTTTCACTTAAAAGTCTATATTTTAAATTTTAGGTTAGTTTTGAAGCTGCCAGATGCCTGGGAGAATTGGGTCCGGCTAATTTACAAACTGTTGTTTTACAACCCGAAAAAATTCTGGTACATCAAAAGCATTCACCTATTGAGATTATTATAGGTAGTGTGATATCGATGTTGTCCAAATACATAATTGATTGCGATATAAATGTGTTAAAGAGAGCTAGGAGACTGTTTTATGAAATATTACATTTAAACGAAGGAAAGAAGATTATAAGTAAGATCTAAATAGAAGGATTTTTATTTAATTTAAAAACTTATTGTTTTCTTGTAGATGCTGGTGGTGATTTTGGCTTTGGTCCTATAAATAAAGATTACATTACCCCTTATTATTCCTCGCAACGTAAAGTATCTACACAAAATACCATCTTAAACACAAAATTATTTGTGGAAAAAATGAAAGATAGCAAACTGTGGTGTCCGGACACCGATATCTCTCACAATAGATGGATTACTACGTTGGTATCAACTATTTTGAAAACTTTTAATGATGCGAGTCCTTTATCAAATCTAATTGAAGTTTGTGAAGTCAAGGTATGTGAAAACATGCAAATCAAATAATTAACAATTGATTCGATTGCCAAATTTAAACTATAGTTTAAATTAAAAAAAAAATGGTAGCAAAATTTAGTTTTCTTTAATAAAAAGATTTCTAAACATGTTGTGTTGGTGTCGCTAAGATTACAAGGAAATACTCTTGACGTCTATGGCGATCAAGGAAGTTTAGAATTTGGAGTGGCCCCAAGCTGGTCTTCTATCTGGTATGCTCCCATTCCATCAGAATCTGATTCGAAGTTTCTCATCATCCTCACCTAAACTTTACGCACTATCTTTTATTAGTCCAAGTTTACTAAAGTTTTTTTGATAGGCAATGCCCTGTAAGGATCCCTGTTACTATGTAGCTCAGGCTGATACAGGTTTTTGTTCTTTTCTTGTCAATAAAAATAAAATATTTATTGAACAATTACAAATAATTTAGTTTCACAAAAGTAATGAATGTCTTATCAATTGTTATTACAGATGTATCATTGTTTTGAAATAAGTCTTAACAAAATGATTGTAATTCAAATTTAAATTACTAACTTCTGATGCTATGTAATTAAAACACGCCTGTTGAAACATTCAACATATTTAAACTTGAAACAATAATATTTTTAGTTTGATCAAGTAGTATCTGGGATCAAAAAATTTTAAAAACCAACCCTGAAGCACGTTTGAATTCTCGAAGCCTTACACACTCGGCGTCACAGCATGTGTCACAATTCTCTATACAACTTTCGTTTTACACACTTTTCTGAAATCCCAACCAATTCTTGAAGGTTATTCAATTCTCTAAAACTTCTTTTAAGTGAATTTATTTCTCAGACGAATAGTTGAGATGATATGATGGAATGTTTGGTGAAAAATGTAAGGTAAAAATCTATTTTTCGAAAATTTTCATTTTTAAGGAGCGTGCAGCTCGAAACCTGTTGACATTTCGAAGAGAATTTCATAAGATTTCATTTAGTATCAGAAAAATTTTCCCTACGACGCACCGTTTTTGAGATATAAGCGAAAACCCATGAGTGGGATCTTCTTTGTGTCGTCCTGCCTACGACTCGCTTCTTAGACTACCTAAGCACCTGAACAAGTTTCTGAAAGAATCGCTTAGGTCCCTGCCTCACGCACTCTACATCTTTTTTGGGCCATTTGTTGACTGAACTACAGAACCATACACTCCTATTCCAGTTCCTTCTGTGGTTTTGAAGGCATCCGTATACCATGGCATGCTTTTTGGTCACAGAGACGATTGATTCTTCGCTCCATTCTTTCTTGCAGCCCAGCTCTTGTTTTGAAAGTTTTCACAAAACTACTTCTTTCTCATTTCGTCCTGCCACGTCCTCTACCGTTAAATATGGAGGTATGAGGTTTAAGAGCAACTACCTCCTTTGCGGACTTATGACAGGCTCTCATTCCGCTGACGTTTTGAGATATTAGTTCTCGTAGCAGCTAGACTAGTTCTGTTACGTCAAGCTACAGCCTCTAAATATAGTACGTTCATTTTACAAGAATGATTGATTCTTTAAATATTTTTTCTATTAAATGTGTTTGTCTCAAGGGGGATACAATAACGTTATGTTAAAGGTACGTTAACTTTCCAATACTGACTCCATGAGAACGGTATAGACAAACGATACTATCGAATAGACAGAAATAGAACGGTACATGCTATCTCACTAACAGTAGAGATATAACCATACGGCCAATCACAACAGGCGATTCACGGGGTACTCCCTTTATTCTTATCACGTCTCTCCAAATATAATTAGGCGTCTTATCTTTATTTTGCTTGATGCGTTGATTAACGTACTGTATATTCCGCCAGTCCTAGATATTTGAATTTTGGCAATCGAATTTACACTATCCTTTATGAATATCGAATTTATTTTGTTTTTTTCAAATTGACTTTCAGGTCGAATTTTCCGAATGTTTACTCCCGCTTATAATAGATCTAATAATTTCTAAGGGCGTTATTGGCGTTACTAGTTTGATAACAAAACAAATGGACTACTTTTTCACGCAACATTGGAAGATGACGAAACAAGATTTTAGAGAAGATTGCATTGTTTTGAATAAGAAATCTGTCAAATCTATGTTAAATATCATAAATTACGTCAGACTGCAGAAGAAAGGCAATCGTGTCAACTCCAGGTAAGTCTATTAATACGAATAAGTTGTTGTCACCTATTTCACATACTGTACAGATCTTGCACTCAACGATTTTCTTTAAATCATTTTAGATTATCTGTTGATGAATTGACTGTGGATTATCTAAAAGTAGCTAAAGCTGCGGAGTTTTGCGCTAATCATTTCTCTGCTTTGTATTATTCGGAGCTCTGGTGCCAAGAGATGATTGAAAAAATTCAAAGAGAAGACAGCACGTATTGCGAAAAACGTTCGACCATGATAGACAATATTTACGAAAAAGCAGATCAAGAATTCGGAGAAACTTTGCATAATATTTTGAGAAATGTAAGTAAATTAGACTTTAGGAACAATTATTTAGTTATGCTTTAAAATGGGATTTCATTGGCTTCTTATATACCAACTATTATTCCATTTAGCCGACAGTTTCCAACATCTAAATATTGGTATATGATAAAAAAATCTGCATCAGTTATATTAATTCTTTGATTATCATTACTAACACTGTGCAAGTGGGATTTAGTTTAAGAAATAAATTTACGGCCTGCTCCTACAACAATTTACTGCCACGCGTCCTGACAGTCAGTGATTTGCCAGTCGAAAGTAAGAAATAAAAATCGAATACTTAATCAAATAAAAAAATATAAAGGTTGTAACGTGAATTTTAAGTGAACTGTTGTACTTTAACATAAAAAAATTTAATGACAATAATTTTTAGTAGGTAACTGTCAACTAGGTACTTTTAAACAATGATAGATATACTTAATCTACTTACTGAAATATGCCAGCCTTTTAATAAATTACAAAAAACTATTAAATATATCTGAAACATATAGAAAACACTAAACAGCACAATTTAAAAGTGGGACAGAATAAAACCGTATTTTTTTATGAAAACCCCTTTATATTATTGAATTTTTTAAATCTACTAAATATTGTGAGTAATTTTTGTTAGTATCAGTATGTGTTTACTTTCAACTGTTTTGTTACTGTTATTTCAAAATAAGGATTTTCAGTCTTTGCTTGTGAAAATCAAACGGTTTGACAAAATGGCCTTGAAATTAGAATCTGACTTTTTAATATTCTATTGCATGGAACACATTTCTGGTTTGAGCAGATATGCTATTTTGCACTCTTAAGTTTTTTTTTTAATCAGGCAAAGTGCCCAAACCAAAACGTGTATTTTTAAGAAGTCCGTTAGTACACATTCATATATTGTATGTTAGAGTTTCTAGGCTGGAAATGTTGGTCTTCTTCATTGATAGTTGGTAATGCTAATTCTACCCTAGCAAAATGAAATCTACCATCTAACCAGTTTCTATTTTGAATCATAAACCAAAATTCCGTTTAAAATCAAAAAAATAAGAAGTTTTATTAGTTAGATTAGTAAACAATACATAAATATTGTGACAATAATTAGGTGTCCAACTGCATCTCTTGTCGAAATATAATAATGTATTATTGAGCACAAAAAGTGTCCAAACCAAACAACATTCAATCTGCTCTACTGAATAGTTGACTAGAATTACATAGTAAAGTTTACCTCCGAGATACTGAGATATTTTTACATAAACAAAATCACCAACGGTAACACTAAATAGTGCAGAGTTAGCAACTACACATGGACTAAACAATATTCATAACATATAGGCAACGAACGCGTCGAAACAAAATTTTCCTTAGTCGCCTTTGTTGTAAGCGGTTGCAGCAAAACTTTGTATTGGTAAATACAGCATAAAGTAGAGAAGACATAGCCATCAACAAATATTCGGGACTTTTTGATAGTAACGAAAAAGAAAAGCGAAATGCACTCGATTTCGCTAAAAAATACATATTTCCATGAACAATAAAGATAAATAAACATATAAGTGTTTCAAAATCACTCTAAAATGAATTGTTAGTATATGGACTAAAATATACATGTGGCCAAATGAAATCAAGTAATTTATTTAATTAGAATTTTGTTCTATTGGTTTCCTACACATAAAATATATTTAACAAGGAACGCAAGTATTGTATTTTATAATAAAAAGCTTTGGGTAAAGTTTTCAATCAAATTTACTAATAATTAAACAAATTATGTTTTTCTAAACATATACTTAAAAAAATACATATCAAAAATTTAAATGTAATTTTTGCTATTATGTCCAGCGTTAAACATACGATCATTTTAGTGTGGATCGGTCTGAAAACTATTGTCGGATGTGTACCATTTTAAAATATGACAAAGAAACGTTACATTACGTCACATTAATATTCGCTCCGTGCGCGACAGCAGCGCCAATTCGTTTTGATACTAATGGACTATTTCTGCGTACACTGACAAATGCAACTTTTAATAGAATTCGTAATTAAAAAGTATATATGGTAGTTTTAATAAAAGTATATGGATTTGTAAAACAAGTAAAACATTAATTTATTATTATTATATATTTTTATCGCTTAAATTAAAGAAAATTATGTATAATCGATAAAAATGAATAATAAAATATAGGCAGGCAACAGTATTTACTGGAAATTGTATGAGAAGTTGCCTAAGTCTAATAAGTTTTCATTGAAGAATTAGTCTAATCTGTCAAAATAAAAAAATACCATTTAATAATAGCGTGAAGTTAAAATGTATAAAAGAAGGATCATTACTTATATTTTCATTTTTGTTCGAAAGAAAACATATGAATGATTAAAACTGATTTCCCATCAGTAAGTTACAAAATTGCGTTCCAACCACATATAATAATCAAAGGCAGAAATCTTGAAATCTAGTCCTTGCTGAATGAACATTTAAGAATAAGGGATATTAAAGAACATGGTAAAATGATAATTTATTGTTGATTTAAAACCTTTCAAGTTTCTGATGTCTACTCCCAAGTAACATCTAAAGCTGTTTACGTTGATTTGATCAGCAATTTAGCTGATTTTTAGATATATAGTAGTGGCGAAGTCTGAATAAGCTAACTGGCTGATCAATAGGTTGCATAGAAGCCCTTCTGCTTCTTTGTAAACCCTTGTAGCGCTAATTAACGTTAGAGCACTACTTAAGTCAAAGTGTATACCTTAATTCAGCTACTTGGTCTAGGCTGCACATAAAGGTGAAGAAGCTCTGGTGCAGCCCAAAAGTAGACCACTAATCGGCAATTTGAAATTTGCTGAACAATAGACTGGAAGAGCACTACTTAAGTCAACTTATATACCTTTATTCAGCTAGTTGGCATAGGCTGTACATAAAGCTGAAGAAGCCATGTTGTAGTCCTAAAGTTCATCAATTTGGCAAAAATTTGTAAAAAGAATTAAATTATGTTATTTATTTTTAAATTAAAAAATCGGATTACTAAGTTGTAAACGAGTCTGTACAAAAGTTGAAAAAGCGCTCCTTTTGGCCGCAGTCGCTGTATAATAACTGCTACCCAAGCTATTTAAAAGCTGAAGAAGCACTTCCTCTGCCCACTTTAAGCAGCTATAGGCTGATTATCTTCTCCTTTTTTAGCTGTTTAACCTAAGGAAACGAGTCTTATAATGGCAATTAAACCTCCATTATTCAATCCGTTAGCTGAATATGTAGCTGATTAAGCGCTACCATAATAGTTAACCTACTTAAATTGTTTGTTGGGCTATTTGCAGCATTACAGTTGTTATTACAAAAATAAAGGTAATTTTTCTTCTTATTGTATATCTATCCATTTATTTCTTTGATTTAATTTCCACTTTGCTACTGAAATTTTTTATATAAGTTTCACTGTTTTTTTTGCTAGTATTTGTTAAATTTTCAACACAGCAACTCCGGTTGCTTATTGTATTGTTTTTACCTACTTCTTTTGAAAAAAAGTAAAATGTATACGTGTATTTGATATGCCAAAATTACAAAATATCGCCCTAAAATACACGAATTATCCGCAGCTAGCGCTAGTCGCTTTTGCTTCCCTTTCCATGACTTCGCACGGAGCGAATAGCGTATATTATTGTTGTGTGATTAATAGTTATTTTTTTAATGTCATCAAAAACACAGTGGCGTATGAAATCCACGGGGGTAAAATTATAAAACAAAAATATTTCATTGCAAAGGGCAATGCTGGCAGCAGCAGCAGCAGCAAAAAAAGAAAAGCCTTAATGAAATGCATCATTTTCGCAAGTCACGCTATAGTTTTGCAGTAACGATTTCGAACGTTTTAGTTTCGTTACTCCCAACTCTGAACCCTCCTCGCCCTGTTCTGAACCATATATCTTTAGTCAAAAATAAAACTAGAACATCTGTATCGTTGCAATAAATAATGCAGCGTGAATGCTCCGAATTTTTGGCAGACAATATGTGCAATAAGATACGATTATCAGCGTCTTCGTGATTTGAATTTAAAAAAAATCGTCATTTAATGGTTCAAAATTCTTCCCATATTTATTGATTTTCGCGAATCCACCACTAGTTACAAATTGAATATGCTTTTGCTGAATGGAGTTTTGAAGAGGTTGTTCTGACAGAAAATTTGTTAAGCGTCTTTTGTTAAATATCGAATGAATAAACAAGTTCTATTGTTGCGGAAGTGGAATATTGGGTCGGTCAATTTCTATATCAATTGATTTCTGAAATCCTCTCTTTTGACGTGTTGTATTTTTGATAGAATGTTCTTTATAATGATCAAATACCACATCTATCATTTGAGATTTAAATTTATTTCTAAAAATAATGTTTACAAATATATGAGCATATTCTTTAAATGATATGCAACTTTTGGGCTTTCCTATTTTGATATCATTTTTGTCTTTGCTACTTGCAATAACAAATCCGTAATTAAAATTTTAAACGAAAACTTATAACTTATAACCCAAATATATTCAGCTGCAACAAGATGAATGTAGATATAATAAAGATGCAAAAATATCTATATTTCTTCCCAATTTATTAGGTAATTTAATATATAAATAATACACTTATTAATTCTTTAGTAAAAACAGATAACAATATGACACATTGCCCAATGGAACATAATGAGAAGTTTTATAATAAAAAAATGAAAAAATCCTACCATATCAATAATGTGATAAATCAGCCGACACGTAGAGAAAAACAGAGCTATGCTACGTTTGAAGGTGAAGAGAAAGATACACTGACAGCCGTATGCATAGTCGATCGCCAGCGACTCGCCAGAGATTCATTTCGGCGTATCGCCAGCGAAAGCCCAAAAAGCTGGCGACTCGCCGGAGATTGTCACCGGAATGTCATTTCACGCAAGTTTTCATGTTCTTTTATAGGAAAAAATTTGATATTCGTTCATTATTTTTTGAGTTTTAAGAAATGAATCATGAATAAAATGCGAGAGATAGGTGATAATCCCTAT